AGGCCCCAGTGGTTTCACTCGTGCGACGCGATCATGACGTGATCTCGCGTCTTCGCTTGACTGCGCACTGCACTGCAAGCTGCACTCGTCACTGAGATAGTACAGTACTACTTACTTGGACTCATGGGTGTCTCTGGTAATGTACTTGGTCGTAAGCGACAACTTGGAAGTGGGAAGAGCCTCGGCATTCATTAACAGGACTTAAGGGGGGTGGGGGGGGGAACTTGACTGAGTTGGATTGTGATGGTTCTTCTTCCTCTCTATGATGACATGCTGGGATTTATATTTATATGTATATATTTATATGATAGATAGATATGTATCTATCTATTTATTGATAAGTGAGTCTGAGGCGACAATTGAATGTGACCGTCGAGTAGGGATGGTATTTAAAATGTCAAAATGTCAAAATGACGTGTCATTTTGACCTTTGAAAAAAAAAAACAATGAAATTTACTAGTGAAATAGCGGAGGATTTGACTCAGGTGACTTACCCCCAGAACACAAAAAGAATCAGTACCTAGAAATCACCAAAATTTACACTGAAATTTGAAGCTTTTCTGGCCTAGAAGCTATCACGTGATGTCAGGAATTAATGTGATTTGATTGGATACTTTTACTCACGTGACATTTGTCAGACACCATCCCTAGAACTTACTACTTACCGTACTGTCGAGAGTGAACGGTGGAGCCATCCGAGTCGGTTTCTACTCCGTCTCAGGGGTAAAATTGCCAATTATTGGCGCCCTGCGCATGTTCCAGATTTAGGATAATCAGCATAGCATCCATGATCCATAGCATAGCATCGTTCGATACTCGATGAAGTGTCTAGACTAGATCTCTATCTAGGGAGTCTTCCAACTTCCAAGTCATCTGGCACCATGGGAGATGCTACTATTCTTGTGGTTATTGCCAATATTTGCACCAAAAGGAGGAGGAACCCCTCCAAGCACACTTCTCTCTCGGTCTTGTTATTCTAGTCTTAAAGTATCTACTACTCCAGACGTCTAATTCTAATTCTTATTAACATCGACTGATGAAGGAACTAGTTCCTTGGAGCTAGTCATAAATCTAAAATTAAGTAAAGACAAAGAAAAAAAAAAAAAAAAAAAAAAAAGGTGGAAAAGCACATCAACATCGTCTGAGACTTGACTCAACTCGACTCGATCTGGTTTTTGCCCTTGTTTCCTGTCTTTCGTCTTTCTTTCTTTCTTCCTTTCCTCCTCCAGAGTCACTTGTATCCATCCATCTTTCTCTCTTCAGTCTTTCCCCCCCCCCCCCCCCCCAACACTCTCTAACTCTCTAACTATCATTGACGACCGCCATGGTGTCGCATCGCTCGCCATGATTCTGTCCGGTCGTCTGTTTCATTCATTCTAATTCGTTCCTTACCTTTGGTATCAATTGCTGGTCTCGACACACATCGAACTCCATCGTCCGACTCCCACAGTCCAGCCACTTCCTCCACTCCACCAAGCGATTTCTCCCACCTGCATATTCGGTGGATCAATTGAATTCATCATTAAAAAAAAAAAGACGCGCCTCCCAGCTGCATATCTGCAATGCGACTCGTTGCCTGCAGATTTATGTACAGCAATACCAGTTTATCACACACGACCACCTTATCCACTCGGCCTTTCAATTCGACCCTCCACCCTCTTCCCCGTTCCTCATTGCCCATCTTGCAGGACTTAATCTACCCAATCATCATCATCATCATCAACTCCATCGCAATTGCATGTTGATGCCTTGTTCCAGCCGAATATTCCCGGAAGGATGAGCTTAGATCAGCAGCCCCCTCACCCATCTGTCAGCGAGCGCAGAGGTCAACGACTAGCACCGCTCCAAACCAACTTCAGTCGTCCTAATGCGCGTGCCTCCATGCAATTTCCACCACCTGCGCCAGCTTCTCACCCCGCCCTCGCTCAGTCTGCTGCACCTTCTCGACCGCAACGTCCACGGCCATCGGACTATCAGACCGAGACCGAAGTAGAGAGGATCCCGCTGCAACAGACTCCCCCGGTGAAGCGGCAGTCTTCCAAGTCCGGTCTGCGTGGCCTCTTTGGGCGCGAGAAGGTATCCCGCAAGTCCAGCAACGACGCGAGGCTGGCGGAGATCGAAGAGGCGCAAAGCGGCACGGTACCCCAGACGGTGACCATCGCAGAGACCCCGTTATCACCGAGTCTGTGTGCCACGCCCAAGACGGTCATATCTATAACCACCGCCGCCTCGTCCTCGGGCGATTCGAATCGAACCCGACTGTCGTCCAAATCTCGAGGAAAGAGCAGCGAGGACCGACCAGTCGCGCCGGACCATGCCTGGAAACCTCCCCCGCTCTTCCAGGCCTACCCCCAGGCGATCAAACACGACTGCCTCTGGACTCCGGCCATGTCGTCAGATTCCATTCTGCGCATCCACGCCACCGCGAAGAACAGTGACTCCACTTACGAGGATCCGCAGGGCAATCAGCCCCAGACGGATGAATCGTCCGCGGAACGGAAGAAGAAGGAGAAGGAGAAGAAGCACATGAGATCCGTCTCGGAAACCATCGGGAAGACCGAATGGTCCCAAAAGGTATATGTGCTGGTCACATCCGGTTACATTTTGCAGTACGCGGGGAGCGGGAAACACGATCGATTGCCAGAGAGGATGTTGCAGATCTGCCCCAAGTCTGTGGCCTTTGCCAGCGATGCCATCCCGGGTAAGCACTGGGTGCTCCAGGTCTCTCAAAGCTCAGACGAGGAAGGTGCGACTGCGGTGGATACCCATCGGCCCCTGTTCTCCCGCTTGGGATTCCACCGATCTCATGCGCGGAGGTGGACTCGGAGTTTTCTCCTCGTCTTTGGCAACCCGGAGGAGATGAGTGCCTGGCTTCTGGCCGTCAGGGCTCAGATTGAAGCCCATGGCGGCAAGAAATATGTCTCGGAGAGGCTGTATGACGAGGAGTTGCAACGACAGCTGCGACCCAAACAGAGTATGCGACAGATGGTGCAAAAGGATCCCAATCGCATCTCCAGCATCTATCTCCAGCCTCAGCCTCAGTCGGCCGGCCCCGATGACAAGGATTCCGCCATCAGTGACCAATCTCGCCGGAGCTCCTACATGTCCCTCCATCGCCGCTCAATGGTTATCCAACCCGGGTCCGACTCCCGCTCGAACTCCATTTCCACGGCACATACGGACGTGACCCCACCACTGAATGGTAATAGCAATTGCTTTGGTCATTCTCACACACCCGTTCCACCGTCAACTGGCTCGTCTTCTAATGGGGGGACCGTTCCCGCCGCACAAGGCCCCATCTCCTCAAGTCCGCCGAAGCGCCATTCCCTGTTGTATGCTTCCATCTCAACTACAGAGACGTATGAGCTTCCCCAGTCACTGTCCACGGTGCCCGATCCGATCTTGCGCAGCACCTCGCCTCCGGCACCCAACTTTAGCGTCCCATCGTTTAGCAAGAGGTTTGCTGCGAAGAACATCCAAGCGCAATTCTCCCACATCCACCCAGTTGATTCCGACCAGACCAGCCTGAACCGTTCTCACGACCCTGATGATCAACTCGATCCCCTGTCCGCATTTCCTTCCCCACCTCAATCACCGACACGCAACATGAGTAGAACTGGCATGAACGATATAAACGAACACCCCTCGGTCACTCGCGATGCCTTTCACAGACGGCAACTACGCATGTCCAACTCCGAGGATTCGCTGGCGGATCCTCACCCCAAAACCTATGACTATAGGAACTCCCCCATGTCTCGGCTACCCTCCATCAGCGCGGCGATGTCTTCAGCGATAGCCCACTCCTTTCGCCCGTCAAGCATTGCGCTTGATCCGTTGGCGAGCCATCCCGATGACTTGGATGCCCCTCGCACGGCTTTAGACAGAGGCGAACCCATCCGTCGCGACCCTCATCGGACCCGAGTGTCTGTCCTCTATCCAACAGACCCTACTGGTCGACCTCTCAGCATGGCGCGGCGCAAGAGTATGCCAGGCCTGTCTGCTGGGCCTCCCGCAGCGCCTCCGCCAAACTGCCCGTTGCCCAAGCTGCCGCCACTCGGTCACCCTTCTCAGCCACCGAGCTCTCCTCCCCCGATCCGTTCCTGCAAATCGCCGCCGCTGACCGACCCGCGAGACCATCCAGAAAACCTCAACAACGCAACACAACCCGTTTCATCCACGCCATTCCCTTCCACCACACCAAGCATAGACACACGGGTCGTGTCCGGATTATAATCACCCCTTTTTGCATCACTCGGAATTTCTTTACTGTTCACCCACTTTGCATCTCGGGGCGTCGGGACATATAGAGAGATACATATAGGTTCAGGTTCCGATTCTCAGATTGGACCCTTCCACTCTTTGGTTTGGTTGTCCTAAAAGGAAAAAGTCTCGACATTTTGACACTCACGCTCGGATCTCATTGTACCTTGGATACCTCATCGGCGAAATGTTTTGTTCCCTTACATGCATACATATATATATATACATACCACTGATACCATACCTCTCTGTTTTTTCTTTCGTCCTTTCTTTCTTTTTTCCCCCCCATTTTCGCTTCCAGTATAATTATCCTCGATGCCGATTCTCCGGTTTTTCTACAGCCATGATTGAAGATATCCACGCTGTATGTCGTTGCTACCTATTTATATTTCTTGTTCTTTGTCGTTTGATTTTGCATCCGGCTGTCTCTAGAGCCTTGTCGATATGTTTAAGAGATGACAGATATCGAGACATCTTCAACAGTGCGTACAAGAACCCTGCTGTCGATGCTGGTTACCTATCAAGGGCACGGTCTCAAAATCTTAAACATAATGTTCAATTCCAATCCGTGCATTCCCCCCCCTTATCAGCTACCTGCCCTTAAAACCCCGAATAGAATCATATGAAGCGGCCCTAAATCAACCAGGACAAGCTCCAGAAAGTGTCGTCCCGAAACCCCAGAAAAGGAAAAAGTAGAGAACCATGACGACCCAGCATGCAATAAACAAAGAACAACAACCCGATTGTGTCTCCGCGATCATGATCCTGGTTTGCGGGAAAAAAAAAAGAAAAAGAAAAAAAAAGAGAGAAACGCAAGTACATCTATGGTATCTTGTAAGTTTTTTTTTACTCCTCAGAGGCCTCCTCGACCTTGGGCGCGAGATCGCGCTTGACAGCGCTGGAGGCGGAGGTGTCAGCGGCTGCGGTGGCGGTTGTGGTGGCCGAGGGAGTGGAGTCTGCAGCGGGTTGTGCTTGTGCTTCGCTGGTGCCTGTGGCGGATTTGGTGGACTTTTTCTTCTTCTTCTTGCTCTGTGGGTGAAGGTTAGTATTTTTTGTTAATGCTTTTGGAGGGTGAATAGAGAGAGGGGGGGAGAGGGGGTGGATATACCTCCTGCCAACCCCACAGGGGCTTGAAGCTGTCGACGAAACCGACATCTTCGAACAGATTGGGGAACAGCCAGAGACCAGGCGGGACGGCGAAGACGGTGATGCAGAACAGGATCAGACGGAAGATGGACATGGCGAAGAACAGACCCAGCAGGCCCATCATGCCGACGCTGAGGTACCAGACCCCCTGGCGCAGCATCATGGGCCACAGCGGGAAGAGCACGACGGCGAAGATGCCCGCGACGACGGCGGCGGCCATGGCCTTCTGCTTCCACTGCGGGCCCTCGTATAGCCACACGTAGTGCATTAGCGGCTCGGTCTCCTGGTGCTGCTCGATCTTGACCGTCCAGAGGCCCTTGACGCGGCTCTTGGGCTTGGCGTGGTCGTGGCCGGCGTGCGGGTCGATCTTGGAAACGCGCAGCGCGAGCAGCGACAGCGGGAGGAGCTTGAACACGTTCTCGGCCGATGCGCGGTCCGTCACCGGCGGGAGCAGTGAGTTCTTCTTTCCGGCGGCTTTGGCGTACGCGGGGGATTCGAGGGCGCGGATGGCGCGTTTCACTGTTGATATTGATTGCGTCAGCCTTGGTTTTTTTTTTTTTTTTTTTTTTTTTTTTTTTCTTCTTTGTCGAGAGGTAATATGTGTGGAGTGAGATGGGGGGAAGGGAGGGACATACCCTTGAACATATCTTTTCTTTGTCCGTCCAGGATACACGTCCGGGACTTGAGGTTCTGGGACCGTAGGAACTGGGCGACCGCGATCGCGCGAGGGTCCGGAGGATTCGACGGGTTCACAGGGACTTGCTGCATCTGCTGCTGTGGGGGAGGAGCAGGCTGTGGTTGTCCCTGTGATTGTCCCTGCTGCTGTCCCTCTCCCTGTGGCTGCTGCGGCTGCTCACCCTGCTGTGGTTGTTGCCCTTGTTGTTGGGCCTGCCGTTGAGCCTCCATCTGTCTCTGGTGCGCGGCAAAGGCCCGCATCCTCAGCTGCGTGACGTATTGCTCAGTTGTCATGCCATGTTTGGCGGCCTCTGCGTTCAGTTGTTCGCGCTGCTGCTTTGCAAATTCTTCGGGGGTCATTCCTCGTCTGGCTGCTTCGGCAGCGAACTGCTGCTGCATGGCAGCAATCTGCTGGGGGCTTGGCTGGCCGGGAGCCGCCATGATGACTGTGTTTTGAGAAGATTCGGGTGTGGTATCAATTGATGGAGGTGAGATAAAACACGACAGGAGCTGAGACAAAGGGTCAAAGAAAGAATATTGGGGGGGTGTCAGGGTGGAAGAAGAGGAAGAACAAGAAGCCAGGAACTCAGCGGGAGTGACGAAAGACGAAAGACGAAAGACGAAGTGGCCAGATTGATGGTGTTCGACCGCCTAAAGAGGAAAAGGGCCGAACCGCTTCTCCGCAGTCACTCCAATGCATCTTTCACTCTTCACTCTTCACTCTTCACTAGATCTAACTATCAGAGCAATATTATTATTATTATCATTGTTATTATTACCATTCACCATATAACTATTGTCTCAAAAAACATCGGTGGATGGCAGGTGAATTGACTGTCATGTGCTGTCCTCCCTAGATTCACTCGATGCTGCTGGACTCTGCTCCATGGGCTTGGAATATGTTCCCGATGCTTCCCTTGTAAATCCTACATGGGTCGCTGTACCACTGGTGAGTTTCCAGTTGATCGATCAACTGCTTATCCATCAATTAACAATCTCCTGCTAGAGCGAAAGAGATGTTTCTGGCCAAATCCCGATCAACTTCGTCACTGTCCCGACTGTTTCCCTGACCGCAGCATGCTTCGGTAACAATGTCTACGACGCCAGCTCTGCAGAGAAATGCGTGTCGAATCTGCTGGTCCTCGGGTACCGTCGCTTCCTGGTGGATGTATACTGGTCAACGGAGCTGCGAAAATGGACGTTCTGCCCCGTGACGATTCCTCAGAACGTTCACGTCGTCACGCTGACGACGACGCCATCTCCTACGGCTACGGCGAGCGCTGCCTCGGGCACCCTCACAGTAGTCGCCGGCCCATCAGGATCGCCGCTGTACCAGCTCGGCCCTTACCTGTGCTCCAGTAATTTTGATCTTTCCGGGCTGGTCGATATCTTCGTCGATTATTTCCGAATCACAACCTCCCAATTGAACGTATATACACGATACCTCTCCTTCAATCTTCACGTGGCATCGGATGCTGCTTCTCCCAATGGGCCTGCCGCATCTGTACCAGATGGACAGCTACCTTCAATCTCAGAACATGTCAGCTCTCTGTTCGAGGAGCGCTTGTCTGCGTATATCTATAAACCCTTCCAGCTATACAAAGACCGCAGCAATCTCAACGATTCATGGTACGAAGTTGACGATGGCTACAAGCCTATCACGGAGTATTTCACCATTCATACGGACTCGAGTGGAACGCAAAGCACGCCGGACGGTTGGCCATGCTCCAAGTACGTGCAGCTTGCGCAGGAGCGGCGCCTGTTTCTGGAATATGGCTCCGTGGATCCGCAGCTGGGCACCTATGACTTGGTCAATGATAACAATGTCATTTTTCCCCCGAATTATCTAACATCTATGGTGCCCGTCTCGTCTTCCGATAATAGCAGCTCGGCCTACGGTTGTCTTTACGACCCCGGGGCTACCTCCGTGTCCCAAGTCAATTCCTCATGGGCCACATCCGGTAGTATGGCTGTATCCGAACCATTGAATGATCCCCACGGCCTCCGACAAATGTCCGACTTATCGCTCAACCTCACAGCCTGCGGGTTATCACCCACCCTCAACAGCACTTTGTTCAACAAGACGGCCGATGCTGACACCGAACCATACCAGAACATCTCTCTATCGGCTTCTTGGGCATGGGCTCTTGGCGAACCTCGAGATGCATTGCCCTCGGGCACTGACGATGATCCGCCCCGAATTGATCGATGCGCGATCATGGACCTCTCCCTCGGCGGCCGCTGGCGCGCCACCAACTGCAGCAAAGTGCGTCACGCAGCTTGCCGCGTGGGAAACCATCCGTTCACCTGGTCCCTGTCATCCACTCCCTACGACTACTGGGACGCGCACCAGAACGCCTGTCCTAAAAACACCTCGTTCGCCATCCCACGGACCGGACTAGAGAATACCTACCTGTACCATTACCTACTGGATCACCAGGGCGAGATCATGGATCCCACCTCATCCGATCCAGCAAAACGTGAGATCTGGCTCGATTTCAACTCGTTAGATGTCGCATCGTGCTGGGTGACTGGCGGCCCGGAGTCCTCGTGTCCGTATGTCGCCGATCCACATCAGCTGGAACGGCGGGCAGTCCTGGTCGCTGCCATTGCAGGGATCGTGATCTGTATCATCACGGCTCTGACTCTATTCGTGAAGTGTAATACGAACCGAAGAAACTCGCGGAGAGGGAAACGAGTTATTCAGGGGTGGGAATATGAAGGTGTTCCATCATGACCATATATATATGTACCCTCTACATTGCCTACTACATATAACATTTTAATCAGAGGGAAACATCTCGGATTGAGTAACGAACTACGTGATAACAGAAACCTCGCAAAGCCTGGTGATTCCCTCATTTTCTTCTATGCCCTCTCCCCAGCAAGAAAAAGCATGGGTATACCCTGCTCTTTCTGCAATAGACTGACATTGACCGAGCTGCAGTTCGCCGAGAGGGCTGCGTGAGAACCATGGGAGGGATGACTCAAATCAATAAAATATGCGACTTCAACTGCTGGTGGCGTGAAATTCTAAATATTCTTGTATGAGTGTAGATACGTAGATATATCAGATATATCTTTATCGTCTCGGGATGTATCTGGAAAATCAAGCTTGTTGGACCCGGTTGAATTGTAACTAACCTGCTAAATCCTAGCGTAGGAGTATCAAACATGAAAAAAAATAACAGGAATGAAAGAAAGAGAGCAACTGCATTGAACTCGTTACATATCCATTCCATCATGAACAAACCATAACCGTCAAAATCAAAGCATGTACCCAAATTTTCAACCCTTCCAGGGATTCAAATTTACAATCCAGCAAAACGAGCCCATCCAGCAGCCCGCAGAGGCTTCGGGCTTGGACTCTCCACCTCGACAACACCACCTCTGCCCTCCTCGGCGATCTTCCCGCTGACATCCCGCCGCCTCCCGACACCCAAGTTGGCAATGTAATTGCCATACGCCAGCGACGATCCTGCGCCGAGATCGTGGCGGCTAACGTCGGCGCCCGAGTTACTTACAACACGGCCCTTGCGGTCGCTGTCCGCTGTCGCAGGGTGCAGGGGAACGGGGGGATGCTGCTCCTCACCGCCGTAGTCGTCGCCATCCTTCTGCGTGAGGGGCCCGTACGTGTGTAGTTTCTGGCTGTTGCGCTTGACGAGCTTGCTCTTCTTGCGGCCCATGTTGGGAGAGTTGGGCTCGTTCTGACCACTCACGCCACGAGGGATGGTGAGCCACGGCTTTGTGTTGAGTTCGCCGTAGAAGCGGCTCTTCTTCTCGGGGCCCTCTTGGGATGGCAGTGAAGCTGGGGGATTTGGGGAGAGGTCAGGAATTTCCGTGAGGGCGACGCGTGGAGATGGGTTGGGTTCGTCCTGGGCGTCGTCTCTGGCCTCATCTTGTATGGGTTGCGGGCTGGGCGGGTTCAAGGCCAGGGGATTGACCTGGAGGGAGGCAGATACTACTCGTTCGCGCGCGTCGTGGTCAAGGAAGATGTTGATGTTGTGGTCGCCGATGTCTTGTTCGGTGTTATTGTAGTATCCGGTCTGCCGGGCATGTTCGTGGAGATCTTCGTCGTTGCCATAGTATTCATGCAAAGTGAGAGACTCATACTCGCCGCGAACCTCCTCGGAAATGGTCTCTTCAGCAAGCCGTTCATAGCGCTGAGCAGATGTGAGCCAGTCCTTGAAACTGCTGCCTCTGGAGACGAGAGATTCCGCCTGACTGTACGCAGATGACGGGTCGCGGCGGGCCAAATTCTCGTTCAAAGCAGCCTCTGCCGGGGAAGGAGAGCGGGAGGGGTAAATGATCCAGTTGCCTGACTCCGGGCTGATGCATTGTGCCCTGTCAGGAACATCAAGCGAGGCCTCCTGAGCACGAACACTGGGGGCTTTTGTCGAAGCTAACTTCTTTCGTGGTGAATTATTCTCCTCCACGAAGGTCTGACTGGGCAGTGGAGGAACCGGGGGAACCTCTGCAGCATGATACATGGATGATTGCGACTCTCTTTGCTGACTGAGAACAGAGCCCCGGCTTGACGCATCCTCAGAGGACCTGCTGCGGGTATGCATGAACGGCACGGTGCGAGGCGCATTAATGAGGGGGTCCTCCATGGAAGACATTTCAGATGCAACTGTAGAGTTACTGAGATGCTTCTCAGCAAGTTCTGATTTGTTTCGCTTGTGGGGCCGGGAAGTGAGATTGTCTTCGAGCGGGTTCAGATCCGGAGGCAGCTGAGCGATCTGGCGGAAAATTATGGCCAGGAAGACACAGATGCCCAAGGATATAAGATGGATGCCTCCGCTGACGACACTCAGGAGAAACGTCGCGTGAGCGATTTTGTCTGTGATTTCGGCGTCGGCACTCAATAGAGTGCTCCAATGATAGGCATTGTTGGTGATCTGCTGGTATGCGATGTATGCAGAGAAACCATAGAATGGGATCAGTCCTAAGTCCAGGGTTGCTGCGAAGACCATGTAGCTGGCCTGCGAGCCCGCAGGTCTAGTGACCGGAGAGCGACATAGATGATAGATACCATAGAGGGTGTGGAGAACTGCAACGATGGGCTAGGAGAGTTAGCACAGTCATACAATGTCCATGTGTGTCAACTTACTCCGGCGCGAATGATCCAGATGATAGTCACCGCGATATTTTTGATAACGATGCCACAGAACAGCGCTCCGAGTGCTCCGAGAAGAGCTAGCACACGCAAACCCAACTGTATCCTCCTTCCATAGAACACCTTACTCTTTGTCCGAGGACTCATGGGGGCCCATCGCGTCACTCCATCGGGAAAGTTCGAATACTTATCAGGCAAGATTCGATCAGCATTCGCATTCCAGGCAAGAATAAACCCCACCCCGCAGTACTACATACCGAGTCTGGATGTCTGTTGAAGCTGATATATGGTCCCTTTTGCTTTGGCTTCGAGGTCGGTCGGGCCCAACTCGACTCAGTCACAGCCTTTGGATTGAAAGGCCGATCCGTTGGACCATAGAAGGCATGCGACGTAGACGCACCATACATAAACGGAGGCAACGATCTCCCCATAATCGCAGTGGATGAAGCTTATCAGCGCCTCCACGCGAGGAGTGGAATGTGGACCAAGACAGGCAAGAATGCTGAGGCGGATGGTCCCAAACAACGAGTATGCAAGGTACGTCAAAAACTATAGTGGTTTAAGAAGGACGCACGGAGCAGGAACCATGGGACGGAAGAGCTCACGAGAGGAGGAAGATCGTGCTGGGAGCAGTCGAGGGGAAGAAGCGCCGTGGATCGGACCCTCTTGTGTCCCAGCCATCTCCCAATCGGGTGGAGCATCAACAATCGCGATAATCGACGCGGCAACCGTCCGATAAGGTCACGTGAGCCTATCGGGACGAACTGGAGTCATCGCTCGGTGACGATCTCCAGCCGCTGAGAATCTAACATCTTTCGCTGGGGGTTGGTGTAATTCTTGAATGATGCTCAAGCGCACGCCGTATGTTTGTGCGCAATGCACGGTGCAAGCTGGTCGCACGTTATTCCGCCGTCCACACGCCCAGCGCCGTTATCAGAGCCAAGTCTCAGACAGTCGTCCATTTCGCATTGCTATCATAGGATCCGGACCGGCCGGCTTTTACGCAGCCTACAGATTACTTGCAAAGGTTGAGGATGCCGTGGTGGACATGTACGAGAAATTACCGGTGCCGTTCGGACTGGCACGGTACGGTGTCGCGCCGGACCATCCTGAAGTTAAGGTGCGAACTACGACTGATGGTGTTGGATTCTGTATTAACTTTTTTGAGTCGATAGAACTGCGAAGAAAAGTTCACCGAGGTCGCAGCGAGCCCGCGATTCAACTTCATTGGCAATATCGAGCTGGGCGCAAGTCTCCCGCTTGAAACCTTGAAGCCGCATTATGATGCGATCCTGTTCGCTTACGGAGCTCCAAAAGACAAGAGGCTAGGCATCCCTGGAGAGGATGCATTGCGTAACGTGTACTCGGCGCGAGAATTTGTCGGGTGGTACAATGGTCTTCCGGAACACCGTGATCTGGCACCAGATCTGACAGCTGGCGAAGATGCCGTGGTTGTTGGTCAAGGCAACGTCGCTTTAGATGTGGCCAGGATACTCTTGTCGGACATCAATACCCTTCGAAAGACGGATATTGCAGAGTATGCGGTGGAGGAGCTGGTCAAGAGCAAGATCAAGCGTGTCCGAGTTGTCGGCCGTCGCGGGCCCATGCAGGTATGTCCACTCATTGCTTTGTTTGAACTTCCATTGACCGCTCTCAGGCCGCCTTCACCATCAAAGAACTCCGAGAGCTACTTCAGCTTCCGTCCGTATCATCTGACCCCATTCCTCGGGACCTCTTCCCATCCGAGGAAGCCGTGGCTGCCCTTCCCCGTGCCCAAAAGCGATTGATTCAATTGATGGCCAAGGGATCCACCGACGACCCTACCACTGCAACCAAGTCATGGTCACTCGATTTCCTCCTTTCGCCTGAATGCCTGACATGGTCCCCCGTACACCCCTACCGGCTATCCTCCGTCAAGTTCTCCCGGAACGAATTAGACCCAAACGACCCTCACAGTCCCAGCGCCAAGGTCACACCGAAGTTCCTCTCAAACGGGAAGCGAGCACAAGTCAACCTCCCTGCCAGTACCTTCTTCCGCAGTGTCGGGTACAAGTCCCTTCCGCTGGCTGGACTGGAGGATCTGGGCGTGGAATTTGATTCCGACCGCGGGGTGATCCCCAACGACGGCTTCGGCAGAATCACCGGACCAACCACAGCCGGTAACGTTGACCCTCTCCCGGACGGGTCGCTGATCTCGTATCTTCCGGGCCTCTACTGCGCGGGCTGGGTCAAGCGTGGTCCCACGGGTGTCATTGCCACCACGATGACTGATGCATTTACTACCGCGGAAACCATCGCTGCGGACAAGGCAAGACAAGGGGGTAAGGGGTCCTTGCTGCACGGACCGGGTCATAGCACTGGTCTTGGTTGGGAGGGCGTACGACCCGAAGCGGAGAAGCGCGGGTTGCGGTCGACGACCTGGCAGGATTGGGAACGTATTGACCGGGCTGAGCGGGAGCGAGGGCGGCAGAAGGGGAAGGTTCGGGATAAGTTCGGGAGAGTGGAAGAAATGCTGGAGGTTGTAGCATAGCATGATCTACGTCAAAAAAAAAAGTGTACAGTATAGAATAGAGAACATCATCATCACTCTATAACCATAAGCATATCTTCATAATCATCGAAATAAGTACGTAAACATGTATAAGAACCGAAACAGGGTTCTTGGATGGCCGGATTTCTCCATAATATCCCTAATCCTAGAGAACCCAGCCCCCCAGCCCCCCCCCTTCTAGACATGATCAATCACTGTTTGCAGAACGACTTGTCCGCCTCCTCGTACGTCGCCGTGACACGTCCGAGCTGCCCCGCCAATCCACCCGTCAACTGGTTCATGGCATTCAAGCCGATGTTGAAGCCACCGGGCGCGGCGTCAATCGCGGTCACGTAGATGGTCTGGTCGACATTGCCAGCGGCGAAGTGCAGCTTGTAGCATTTCCCGCAGTTGGGGCTGTTCCAGCCGGGGATAGTGGGCGCGCCGCCGATGAGCGCGAAGCTGGGGACGGCGCCGAAGGTGGGCCACTTGCTTGCGAGGCCGTAGAGGCCATCGGAGCAGGAGGTGGTGCTCATGGAGTTGCCCGCGACATCGTACCTCTGGTCGTAGGAGACGGAGACGGAGGTTGCGGCTGCGGCGTTTGTGTCCGGGGTAGGGACGGCGAGGGAGGAGGAGAGGAAGAGGGCGAGGAGGGAGAGCGTGGATGTGAAGGACTTCATTTTGTTTGTGGTGGAGGGGTTTGGTTGCTTGGTTGGAAGAGAGTTCAGTAGATGATTGTGATGCTTGAGGTTGTCTGTCTGTCTGTCTGTCTGTCTGTCTGGTTGTCCGGTCGAGGAACGAGGCTTTATATACTTGTGCTGCCCACCATCTTCTCTATTTCTATACTATTATTAGCGATGATGTATATCGAATATCAAATGCAAGATTGTATACCTGGGTATGGGAAAGAGGAACAGCCGGAACGACCCATCGCCATGCCGAGACTCCCAAGCTGGAGTCCCAGAAACTCGGTCAATCGCGTCGACGAGAGTAAGACATGCCCATCAGGTGGCCATAATCATAGTCATACTCTGTAGACACCCACTGTAGATCTGCAGTGTGCAGACTGCAGCATCATGGGCAATAATACGACCATCGTGCAACACGATGCTGGAGCACTGACAAATGCGGGGATCCAAGACTCTCCCACCTCACCAAGTAACCTGCAATCATATGATGAGGTTGAGTTTCCCCTCCGCAATGAGACATACAGTCTCCAAACCACCAGTCAGTCGTTGCTCCACGCTTCTCGCAACTTCTTCCTCTATCCGATCTCCCCGCCTCGGGTGTCACGGCCGATCTCTGTGCGATATTTTTATCCTCCATGTTCCCTCGCGAACACCTGTTGCGGTACCACGCAGAGCGAGTCAGTGACACCGCTTGCTCGTGCAGCAGGAGCGTGCAGGACTTCCCCGATGCGAAGCCTGAAATGGAATGTTCTCTAAACAACGATCACTGACTATTGTGGTATATCTGTACGGCCAGCGGAAGTGGCTGACCGCTGGATGAGGCCCCCCGTCTATTCAGCACCATATCCGATCGATCGGATCGATATTCATTTGAGTCGAATTCCCGCTTACGGAAAGGAAACGTGCAGCTTGAAGCTTGCCGTAGAGATCCTTCATTCATTTGTGGTGAAGGACCCAATCGGGCAAGTCTGGTATGCTTGGCTTCTAATAATATAAGCTCAGCCACAGCTGGATAGAATCATGAGATGAAGCAGGGATTCCGCTTGGCGTCGTGCCACAACATCATTAGGGTAAGGCAACCCATGAAGCACAGCAGAAGATTCATCATCTTGAAAAAAACATCGATAAGTCGGTGAATCCGATGATGCAGGGTAGCAGTCTGCGAGCCGCATAAGCATCGGCAATGGGAGTAGTCATACATCAGCGAATGAACCTGACATTGATGCAGCTTCCATAGTAGAGAAAGCATTATATTTGATCCTTGCTGAAGCAACAGGCGGTATATTTCCAATACTGCAGTTGCCCGAGAAACTGGGGAAAAGTAGTAGTCGTGATCATAACGCAGACGCTCAACTCAGCGAACTGCTGGTACATCGCTGCCAATACACATCTCACCTCCTACAATCATTGAGAAATGTAGCTTCCTAGTCATCATACGGTACTAATTTTAGGACTATCAACTCGACTACGGATAATGTCGTCCTCCCTTTTCTGAATCGGACAGCTCCTTTGAGGGAAGTTGGCAGAGTACACGGTTGCGAAATAGATCCGAGACAATGTATGGTTGGCGTTGGCAAAGTATACTGTAGGTACGCTAAACAACAAGTTATTGCGAAATTGTTTTCACATATTCTCTTTAGTAATTCAATTGATGAGGTCGTCATCATTAAGGCTGTCCAGGCCATCCACGCGTGAAGAATGAACCACGCTTTCAGAGCAAGACCCCTTGCTTACAACCTTTGATTGATGAGATTGAAGACCTCCTCGGGGTGCACTTGGGTGGCGCAGTCGAAATATGATCATGGAAACCCGTTGGGGCACTCCAACTGGCATTTGGTCGTTTGGGGCAGTTGTAAGCCTCTTCATACTTTAAGCTCACGGACAAAGATCTAGGACAGCAACACTGATTCGGCCTGCAATTAATCAGCCTCACATACGGTGGTGACTTCAAGTTGTTCGATCCTACCACCGCACACTGTGACCATGAAGAGTATAGCATGGAGGCCGTGGAGCAAAAATTCCGATACTCTGGCCTATAGCCAGGTAAGAATACTGAAGTTGCGAGTTTTGAGACTCTACACGCTTTATATGGATGATGCAGGAGCTTCCAAAATCAAAAACAACACCGTTCTCTTTGACCACAGACGAAGAGGTCTGTAAGGACGATAACGAGCTTATATTGAAAATTATGAATATGAGCTGGAGGGATAGGCCGACAGCGAGGGGTCTGTTAGGCCAAAGTTGGTTTAACGAGGATGAAGATGACTGGATAGGGTAAGACTGTGTGTGAGATAGTGCAGAGAAGTCGTCTTTTTATATGCTGATATGATTTACTCACCTTGCATCGATTTTTACTTGGTGGACATTCATCTGAATGACGTCCAAAGGCTGAATCATCCACAGTGCCAGGAACATGAAAAGCTGCTCCCCATCGATGGGAGGATATGGATCATGTCAGAGTAATTCAGTCCGAAGGCATCTTTGGCAGAAAACCACCCACCTCACCAAGATATCTGAAAAGATTATCTCTGAGCATGGGCTACTCCGCTACGCCTTTTGCAAGAAACAGGTGCAGGGGGCTCCTTAGGAAGTCTTAGAATGACCCCAAGGGTTTGGAGAAGATTCTCAAAAGGTCGAATTGGGAAAAGAGCTGAAGTCCAAAGAAGGGAATGAGTCCATGCTCACTGTCGTCCAGAAAGACAAGCCAGAAGAGAGAACCAGCCGCCAAGTCGTCCGGCTCAAGGTCGTCGACTAAGGGTACACTTGTTCAACAGCGTCTACAAAACTAGTCAGGATATCACCCGTCTCCTCTTTTCCCAGAATCTTCCTTCCCATTTTCTTTCTCCGTATTATCCTTAGTCTCATGCGTACCGACGCTGGAGTCCTCTCCCGGCTCATCACCAGCAAACCCGTTTGGCTCTCGCAGCCCTTCTCTCGTTCTTCTTTCTCCGAAAGTACTCCCGCGACTTCTTCCGCTGCCTGGCACTCTTCATCTTACTCCTCTTCTTTCTCTTCTTTATCTTCTTTTGTATACCCACACGGCCGGTTGTGGCGGTGGTGCTTGGGGCGGCTTTCCCAGAGCCTACATGCTCCTTTCACAAGTTTCAGTCATAATCCGAATGCAGTGAAGATGGATCATGGGATTTACCTCTAGGTGAGTGAGAAACTGGGACATAGCGTCGACAATCACGCATTCTTCGACTCCGCACCAACTGTACTTAGTACAGTATACGCATTCCTTCTGGTTTTGTCAGTGGTATGGACTTTGAAGGAGCGGAGGACCCAAGTCTTACCTCCATTCTGGTGGAAGATGCCATGGATGATAATAATAGCGATGTTGATGGTGATACTAGTGTTACTTTTAAACCTGAGCGAAAGAGAACAGAACACATGAGAAACCGCGGAGCGTGTTAATGAGGGAGCTGGGGGTGGAGGAGGATGTTGTCAGCCTCAGGCAACCTTCAAGCATCGTCAAGCAGATTGATGTGTTTACCAATCTAGTACAAGTGTTACTGCTCTGAATTGGCGGTATCATTTCTCCTTTAGTAAATCTAAGGTACAAGTTTCAAACCATTTGCTTGCTGCTGTGTCTATTAGATGTCTTGTAATCGCCATCAGATGCTCAGTCTTTCAAAAGGTTAAGGAAACATTATGGTAGTATATACAACCTTCGAGATGCGCTTCTTGTACATCTCCTTAAAATCAGAGATCAGTATTATCTCCCTTTACCATCATACCCCAGAACTACCGATACTGATTATACGAGGGTCTTTGTAGTACAAAGCTCAAAAGATAGCTCATAGTAAAAGACCCCAGATTTAGTTCAATCAGAGGCAACAGGCATATATTTAAAGTGCCCAAGTGCCAATAGTTTCCAGAAATAACAGATTAGAGATTGGCCCAAACTTGATTCCTTAAGGGGCCTCTAGACATCTCAAGTGGTTGATATGATGTACTTCATGGCAGGATGACTATTGGTATGATGGGAAAATCCTAGCTTCCGTCAAAAAGACGCTCTGAGTCGCCAATGGACTAGATCCAGACGTAAAAGGGCATTGTATACTCAAACATATCTCTCTTAAGCACATTTATCGTGATAAACCCTGCCCAATGGGTTCATACCCACAGAGCCCAACGGTCTCAAGGACCTCATCTGAATCCATTGACCGTAGATGATATAGTAGGCCACGGCTGTATTGTTTTCTTGCGTCCGACCTCATCAATGAGAGCGAACCTTGCTTAGCCTGGTGCACGCTGTCTTTGTAATGGCAAAAGGGTCAATCAAAACTCGACGGTGTTCGCATTCTCTTCAAAGGTTGATGATGATGAACCACTCGAGTTCAAATGCTCCGATATCTCAAGCCATATTTACTCAGTTATGCCGTCGATCGAAAGTGAGAGGCTGCGAATCCCCATAGTTGCAGTGTGTACAAAATAGGAAGGTGTAGTACCTGACCTCAACATTTAGCCGAAATGCGGGGGAAGGCGATCCCTGCCAATTACTGAAACACGGTAACACCAATATAGTCTTATCACGTACTGTCCTGTTTCAAACACAACTGTCGAGAACCACTATCCAATTGTCTTTCGAGTTCATTCTGAGCTCATTTTGAGCGGCTTTTGTTATTGTGATATAATCTAAATAAACCTCCTATCGGATAATTATAGGCAAGATGGCCGAGTGGTCGAAGGCGGTTGATTTGTAAGCAGCCTTAGATGGGTTCAATCTCGAAATTCGTTACTAATTCTATCTGCAGAAGAAATATCTTAAATATCTTAAATTCCCAACTCCCGAAAGGGGCGTGGGTTCGAACCCCACTCTTGTCAACATTTTTTGGACCCAGAATCCATTTTTCTAGTTTTTTTTTCTGTCCACTTTTCCCACCTCTTTATCCTATTGATGTCGTGGGAGTTGGGACAGGATGTGTGAAAGAATGGTATTCTTGGTAAAATTACGTTTACTTACTCCGTTATACGCTCGCTTCGACCCTGCTGCCGAAATAGGAAGGAAGCTGCTGTTCTGTAGACTCGATTCACCGTGTTGCCTTCACCCCTTGTGTGTTCTTCTTGATCATTCACCTGGTCCCATCTTCTTCCACCATTCGCTCTACTCTCTTCTCTTATCTCTACCATCGCACGTTCTACACTTGTACTATGATACGCACTCTCATCTTCACGATGTCACAGTAACCTCAAAAATCAATATTGTCACTATCGCTTCCAACCATGCACCCATAGTCCACCAAGCAGAAGTATAGTTGACGATTCTTCTACTCAAAGCCAGGCTAGACGACACCCTCCCATGGAGGCTGACCGGAACCGCACGATGGAGTTTGGCAAATCCCAATCATCAATAGTTCGACGTTGGAGAAGAGCGTCCGCTCATTGCTCTGCAGCTTCCGATGCATATTCAACACCCAGCTAAAAAGGCGTCTGTATAAGACCCTAGCCGGTAGAGATACATGTGGTTGTTGACAGTTTCCTTGATGAACAAGGCATCTCTCATTTTGTTTGTGGTCGTGTCTGAGTCTATCATCAACACCTTTTCTGACTTATTGGAGTACTTGACCCGCGCTGACGCGAGCAAGAGCTATGTGTCTCTCTTCTACGAGCTTTACTCATCATCGACATATTTGGCAGGCCCTGTTTGGATTGGAAGAGAGGTGGGAGAGGAGGAAGCTGAATGGTATTGACGTTGAGCAACGCAATTTGTCATATTATCCCACTCAGCTGAAAAGGAGTCCAGACATCGTTTCCTAACTGGTAGTGATATATGTAGAGCACTGTGACACTATTCCAATATGGATCTGTATGAGTGAACTGTAGTTTTACCTTAAGTCAGTCTTCAGCAAAGATCTCCTACTTTTGCAAGTGCCTAAGGATGCCGCCAGTACCTCGACGAGTCTTTTGATGAATACCGGCCGGATCCAACGTCATTCGATTCTCACCAGACAACAGAGGAAGAAAAGGAGACGGCTGACAAGGCGGTGCATGAGAGATATTTTTTTTTTTTTTTTAAAGCTGTAAGATCATGATCATCTAGTCAGCTGCTCAATTGCTTCAATACTTTGCTGGGTTCGAGCTTCTCAGCCAGGGCTGTTGATCTATTCATATTTTTTTGTTCGTTGTTATGTGCACATGATACCGCAATGCAAAGCTGGCTGAAACTGTATATCCCCAATCCTCTTGAGTCTCCCGTATTCATAGGCATATATGAGATCATAAAGGGCAGGCCACTTTATTGCAGCTGAAGATACACTGCATACTGCACGTTGCTACTTGCATCTCCACGTGTATCTCGAATACGAACCGCCAAGTGGGATGTCTCACCCCGGACTCACGATGCTGGAGGCTCTCAAGTATGTCTGAGACACAAGCCGCAGAAGTGCATCAGATCAGTCAGATGCAGGACTTTGACTTTCGAGGCAGGGAAATTCCTTTGGGTTGTGTTGCGTGGTGCTTGAAACGTGTCCAGCTATGACTCTATCTAAGCGAAGTCCCGAGCTCTCCAGATGGACTCGGGCATGGATTGAGGGAATAAAGTTGTACTGCGACTTCGTATTCATGCAAGCCTCGATAAATATGACATGTCTCATTGATGTAGAGTATGTCATGTCTTGAAGATGGTGAGATGGTTCTCTGGCCGACAATCGGCAGGTGCAACTGCCTCGAGTTCATCCTCAACGATCAAACATATAAGAAGGCCTCGAAGAACCGAGATCATCGTTCTCCCCATCACACCATTCCACAATATATCATCATAAGAAAGGCCCCCCCAGTCATCAATATATCTCCACAATCCCCACAATGCAACTCCTCAAGTACATCACCCCCCTCCTCTCCCTCCTCCCCATCATCCACGCCCTCCCCAGCCCCAGCAGCTGCACCACCGTTGCTCCAGCCATCGCCCGCGTCTCTGAGGCACAGCCCGTAGCCTCCTACCTCCCGGGCTTCCGCATCTCCCAACAGACCGGCGCAACAAACAAGGAAGACATGTTCGCCGAGTTCAATATCCCCCCGGGAAGCTGGGGCTGCACGCTCTCCTACTCCTTCCCCGCTGGCAGCGCGGTCACGACCACCGGCGCGGCCCCCGTGGAAATCTTCTCGGTCAGCGGTCCGCTGAGCCGCTCGCCCCACGGCATTGATGTCTCGTGGGCGTACTGCCCGGCGCCCGGGGCTCTGGTCGGCCAGACCACATTCCACGCGGATCCGAGCCAGGCGACGACAAGGTTCATCAATAGCTTTGGGTGTGCGAATGCCATGACTTACCGGTTGAGTATTGCGGGATGGTATAAGCAGGCGACGAGTGTGGAGTTTGCGCAGAGTGCGAGTGCTGGCTTGAGGATGACTTATAATTGTTAAGGTGGTCGGTCTATGGGCATATCTCAGCTACAACTGATGGATGAGAAGTTGGAAGTAGAGGAAGGAATCCCTAGGGAGTCATGTTACAAGGATATGATGTTGGTGGAGGCAATACACTGAAAGGCTGTTGTGTTTGAGGTATTCTTTTGTTTAGTTAAAATGAAAAGCACATTCTGAAAAGACTGGAATCCACATGATTGCATTGCTGACAGGGAAGGACGGAAATCAAGCTGAAATTTCAAAAATTAGCTGTACAGTAGATCTCGCATCTGCCTCACTACCTAGACAAGCACAGACCATAGAGCCATGCAATAACTTCCATACTTTCAAGAAGCAGTAAATTGCCATAAGTACTTTGCATAGGCCCTGTCTTCCTCCCCCAGTCCCCCGGGTTCCCATCATCAGCTTTAAATGTTGCTAGTCATAAGTTGGATCATTCGAATTGGAGACACCTACTTCTTGCTTGTGCACTCTCAGGTTTAGTTGCCTCCAGAGGAGGCACTTGGGTGCTCCCAGGGCACTTTGTTTTGCAGAAATCACACTTTGGCCATTAGCTAGATACACCAGCACTATCATAAGATAGTATTCACATCTTAAGTATAATGCCCATGACAGACTATGTTCAGTCATTCGCTGAACATAAAGTACTAAAGATATATTTGCTGTTTTCAATTTTCCATTTTTTTGATTTTGTTTGGATCTACTTTGGAAAGGAGAGAAAGATATCAAAAACGCTTTGCTGAGTAGTTGTGGGAGAGATATGTAGAGAAGGGGAAGAAGATTAGACTCATCTCCCCTGCCTATTGCCCTGTCTCAGACCAAGTATTCTTATTGATCTGAATCATTCCGCTAGAGTTTACTAAAGCTGTGTTAAGGGAAGTGTTCCATCTCAATGGTGAGGGAATTTGCTGTTTGATACATATATATCTGCTGGACTTACCTTAAACACCCTACAGGCACTGAAATATAGTAATCTATCCATAATGTAACATGCTCAGCGTCAGCGTAAGGGGGCAGACTTCCTATCTCATATTCAGGGTGTTTTCATGGTCAGGGTCTATATCAAGATAGGGCATAGTTCTAGGTTGCCCTAAGTAAACTGGCCGGAGCATTAACCTGATTTATGTATGCTCTGCACTTCCATCACCAGCCAAAAGAGTGTGATGTCTTGTCTTGATCTCTAGTGCATTACTTGTAATCACAACCTCTATGTACACATCCACCAGGCATCAATCAGGGTCCCTATCCACGGCCTCCTATCCAAAACACAAATCCTCTAGATAAATGGAAGAGTCAAAACTTATACACCTGTATAGCCATGAGGCCTCTCAGCACCCTTCATATCCTCGGCGTATCACCCCCCACTTCCAGCAGTTGCTGGAACCGTGGTTGCATGGCCCAGCTCCCATTTCCACAAAATGCGACACAATGTACACCCATCTATCAGAGAGGGCAGAGTGGACAGGGTTGAGGTAAAGGCGAGCGAGTGATAAGTGTTCGGAGAAAGCGGAATTATAAATAGCATTTGGTTAGAAAAGGATGAGGGCTGAAACAAAAGGGAAGTATATCTACCAGGCAGACGAAGGAAAGGCTCTTGCAGGTGGCCAGGGCGAGGAGTGAGCCAGACGCAGGGTGACATTGTGAGTGTTTCAAGCGCTTTATTGAAGACATGAGATATGGACTGACTCTAGAATACGGTTTTGTATCCTTCTATCTATGCTGTTGAACTGGTTTGTTGGTTTGTTGGGTGGATGGACTTTCTATATCGGCTTGCCGAGTGCCTTGGCCAGTTGGTGAAGAACCAGGCGGCGGATTCTGCGTGTGAGAATGTAGGAATGTTAACTGATTTTCTCCGGTATCAATTGCAATAATAATATGGCTCTGACACCCAGGGAATTGGCAAATCAGTCTGAAACTGGATGGGCTGGTGAGAGCATGAGCTATACTAGCTGTTGTCGCATAACTAACTACCAGCCAACTCAGTTGGCATTGCTGATGCGGTGCAGTATCCCAGCTATTATTAATTGATGGCTTTTTGATGTTGTAATTTATCTACCAAAAACCACCCATGGAATTGATGGTTTCTGTTTCGCAATGAAACAACGAGTGATTCTAGTCGATCCACTACCCGAGTTTGGCTGGAACTCCTGTCGTTAGAGATATCGACATTGAGAACACTATACTCGCAACACCCCTTTTCGAACCGAGTCTGGTCTCTCTCGTCTGCTTAATCCACCAGGCTCTGCAGACAGAAAGCATTAATTGGTACTCAATCGTCGTCAGAGGCCGATACTATCCGAACTCTGCATGAAAGCTGCACGCCCCGCATTCTCCTTGCGATTCAGCCGGTTCATGCATTCTTCAGAACACCTGCATATACCCTCAAAGGTCGAAGATTCCGTGCTCCTATAACTATAAGACTAGAAAGACGTACACTCGAACATGCCCCTTTTCCAGAAGGAGCGCGGAAAGCGGCAGACCTCGTTTCATCTAGAGCCGTCGGCGAGGCCCACAGACCCTCTCTGCCTATATGAAGTGACACTCAAATGTGGAGCTCCGTTAGCAACTAGACAAGAGCACTCAAGCTTTCGCCTCCACCGAGCTTGAGTCTTGTTTGCCGATGGTGGTCCCATGAAGACCATCACCGGGCCCGTTGGAAACCGGTGCGAGCTCGGCAAAGGGCTATAAAAACCCCCCAGCGTTCCCCTCGAGTTTATGGGAAAAAAAAAAAAAAAAAAAAGAAGAAGAACAGCAGCAGCAGCACAGCATTGCAGAGTCCCAGCAGCATCATGACTCTTCTCATCCTCTTGGCCGGCCTGGCTACGGCCGCCAGCGCCCTGACGGCCACCGTCAACACCGCCCAAACCTACCAGACCATGGACGGCTTCGGCTTCTCGCAAGCCTTCGGCCGCGCTTATGACCTGTACAACATCCCCTCCGATCAGCGCGACTATGCGCTGGACCTTCTCTTTAGCCCGACTAAGGGTGCCGGCATGACCATCCTGCGTAACCGGATCGGGTCCAGCAGCGGCGACTCCATCCTGCCTAACAGTCCCGGCTCGCCCAATAGCATCCCACACTACAAGGCGCTCGGCACAGACTCGGTACAGGTCTGGGTGACGCAGCAGGCCGTCAAGTACGGCGTCAAGACCATCTATGCGGATGCTTGGAGCGCGCCCGCGTTCATGAAGACGAATGGGGAAGAAAAGAGTGGCGGATACTTGTGCGGTGTGACGGGGAAGACCTGCCCCAGCGGGGACTGGAAGCAGGCGTATGCCAACTACCTGGTCCAGTATATCAAGGACTATGCGGAGTTGGGACTGGATATCTCGCATGTCGGATTCCTGAACGAGCCGGACTATACGTATGCCTTTTTTCCCACCTTTTTCTTGACTCTGGCCAAGCACAGATGCTAAATGAAGTAGGGTCTCCTACTCTTCCATGCTCTCCGACGGCACCCAAGCTGCCGACTTCATCAAGGTCCTGCACCCGACGCTCCAAAAGGCCGGCCTCAGCCACGTCGGTATCACCTGCTGCGACGCCACGGGCTGGTCCGCGCAGAAGACACGCACCGCGGAGCTCATCGCCGCCAACGCCGAGGGCCTGCTGTCGCGCATCACCTCGCACTCCTACTCCTCCGACCCAACCAGCCCCATGGGCGCCAACATCCCCGTCTGGCAGACCGAGACTGCAGACCTCTCGGGCGCCTGGGAGACGACCTGGCACTCCTCCGGCGGCAAGGGTGAGGGCCTGACCTGGGCGGAGAAGATCCACACCGCCATCACCCAGGGCGGAGTCAGCGCGTACCTGTACTGGGAAGGCTTCGAGAGGGCGACCACCAACGCATGTCTGGTGATTACAGACGGTAAGCGGGTGATCCCCTCCGGCCGGCTGTGGGCGTTCGGCCACTGGAGTCGGTATGTGCGGCCCGGTGCGGTGCGCGTGGCCATCTCCGGGTCCACTTCGACGCTGAAGATGACTGCCTTCAAGAATAAGGATGGCACCGTGTCGGTGCAGATTATCAACACGGGCCCGAGCGCGAGTGAAGTCACCGTTGCCGGCTTCGCGGCGGCGTCGGCCAAGGCCTATCTCACCGATAACAACCATGCGCAGATCAGTGAGACGACGGTCTCGGTCAATGGCGGCAAGGCCAGTGTGAATGTGCCTGGACATGCGTTTGTGACGGTGGTGCTGAGCGGCAATGGCTCTAGGGTTCCTCCGTCCTTGTCGCCGGCGACCAAGCCAGAGACCAAGCCAGAGACCGGGAACGCTGTCGTTACAGGACGCTGGTCGCAGTGTGGAGGGCAAGGATGGACGGGACCGACAGCTTGTGCGGCACCATACACCTGCAAGGCGCAGAACCCGTGGTATTCCCAGTGTCTGTAATTAATTAATCTCAATACGTAGTCGATAGCAAAATTGTTATAACCCTTCTCAATGGACCATTCTTTTACAGTTCCCCCCATCATCAAGCCTGATCCTGTCCCCTAATCACCGACACCTCGGTCGTCATGTTGATAGCCTCCTTGTCCCCCTGTTCCAGAATCTGTTCCTGGCTACTACGCTCCGCCTCGGCCGCAACATCCGTTTGGGTCTCCGCCAACGTGGTGCTCCACAGACTATGTTTCTTGACCTTGACGGGCTTTGCCGGGTATGGGAGCACCTCATAGCTTTCCTTCTCTGGCGCCGGAGGGAAGAAGCGGCTGAGCAGCGGTTTGAGAGTCGAAATGGATGCAGCGGTGATGGCGAGACCATCTTCGACGCCAGCCCAGATCAAGAGCGGCGTGAGTTCCCAGGTAAGGTCGGCTTTGGCGGACAAAGTGACTAGGTAGCGTGATTTGATGATTGCTGCTGTGCCGGCACTTTTTTTTTTTTTTTTGTTTCATTAGCAGATGTGGACAGGGCACGAAAACGCGGAGAGCTGGGAGGCGTACAAGATACCCATGCTCATAGCCAGAGCCACAGCAATCTTTTCCTTCTTCTTCATTTGCAGCTTCCACACAATGATCCAGGGAAGGAGCACGAGGACGAAATCCTGGGTTGCAGCGTACGCTACTTAATTAGCTCACTCCTTCTTTTCGCTGCAGGCCGGGGAATCGGAACCTACATCCTACAAACAACGAAAAGTCTGTAAAGACATGCGTCGGCCAGCACTCGGACGGAATGGCGTGATTCCACGACGCTCGCGGGTCTTTGCACTGGAGGAACACGAACATGGCTGCAAGAACATTGGCCAGATTCATCGTGACAATAATGAACCACAACACCGCAATCAGCCACCGCTGCACCACGATGCGCAGGAGTGTCAGGGCAAAAGCTGACTTGCCCAGCGTGCACGCCATGATCCCCAATGTTTGTGCAATATTACACAGCAGCGTTACCAAGACGAGCTTCGTCGGGTGCTGGAGGACGACCTCGAGGTGCTGGCCGAGTCCGACGTCTGTAGCAGCATGGCAGACGGCCGTGTAGCCGATCAAACAGCCCTGATCCCATCAGCAAGCTATCATCGAAAACAGGATGCGCAGACTTACCACGGCAACGATGGCACAGGCGTCGTCCCATCCAAACGCCCGCTTCATGAATAGTCGGACGTAGGTGCGAAGACACACCGAAATGAAAGGGACGATGGTCATTGTCCACATCACACCGCGGATTTTCGGAGCCTGGCTCTCATCCTCGAAGCCCTTGTCGAAGTCGGCCATGTTGGTTGTTTGTTCAGGTAAACGAAAGACTTGCACAGGAGAAGCTGGTTTCCAACGACTCCATAAGCCAAAATTCTTGGGGTATTAATAACCATCCCACGCAAAAAAAAAAAAAAAGTAAACATCGTCCCCCATGACAAAGTACGACTATATTCTACACAGATAACTTTTGCAAATGGTCCAGTTTGACCTGTCAGCTCCATAGCTTCCACAATTTCGTTATCCCTGACCATCCTGCAGCATCTGTCAGAGAGCACAGACGTCCTTGCATGATGGATCTCCTACCCGTCACCCCATAGACACTCGGACTTCTTGTACTTTTCCTCTGAGAGTGGCAATGCGTATATGCAGCAGCGGAAGATACCCCGTGCGTGTAAGATCTGTCACATATAGCTATCCTATCAAAGTTCAACGTCAGTTGGTGTGGATATCCAACGCATCGTCGTCAATCCCAATCAATAGTCAATAGTTCATTTGACTTGCTCCAGTATCCAGACCATGCGATTCTTCGATCATCTTTCTCTCTGATATCACGCCAGGCGAGTGCTAAGATTTCAAATACCTGTCGATAGGGGGGAAGGGTTCTCCAATCATTTTTATAACCTCAAGCAACTTAGCACTCTTAACGGCGCAACTTCTGCAGAAAAATCAACCAGCAGAAAGTCTCCACCAATGTCAGAACTCAGACGATCTGCCCGTTTGCGGACGCTGACTGGTGACAGAAGTACCCCAATACGAGCTGAAGGATGGGGTGGACATTGGGCTATTGGTGATGGATGAATGTCACGTAAAAATAGGGCTGTTGGGATGGACAATGTGGCGTAGGACTTGTCGGGTGTAGAAGATTGGATAGCTCATTCGTACGGAAGACAAATCCATTCTTGGTGAAAGTCAATAGATGGATTTATGGGTGATGATCGATGCACGTCCTTTTTCTCAAGGTCCAGCTACTAGTTAGTTAGTATTCCAGATGGGGATAATCAAGCGAATATCAGACTCATAGCTTCAGGTTGACGAGAGACGAGAGACGAGAGACGAGAGACGAGAGCATAACTTCCAAAGGCTTATCTGCTTCACCAAGAGCTTGGGTTTCTCGTCTTCAATATTATTATTATTATTATTATTATTAGGCATCTTCTTCTTTGATCTCTCCGTTGTTTCAAAAAGTGCCTTGGCAGGAACACTCCCCTCGGTGCTGCCTAACAGACAACAACATTAGAGTATATTATCTCTCGCCATCACTGTTCATAGCCAAATCACAACATATATCCAAATAAGACACATCATACACAATATGACCCTCTGTGGTTGCTTCTATCAGCCAGTTCCCCGATCAAAGCCGGTGTACCTCCCGCGTGTTGCAATTGACATACGCGCCACTATTCTCTCCTCCACCGCGCGCACTGTCTTCACTCAGACCTACTGCAATCCATCAGAAAAGCTTATCAAAGAAGCCTCGTACATATTTCCTCTCCACCATGGTGTCAGCGCGGTTGAATTCCACTGCCAGGTCGGCAGCCGCAAGCTGCACAGTCGCGTCAAACCGCGGCAAGAAGCCAAGACGGAATACGAGAATGCGGTTGATACCGGCCAGTCTGCTGCTCTGATGGATCAGACGCTCAGTGCAACGGATGTATTCTCACTCAAACTTGGAAACGTTCAACCGGGAGAGAAGGTGGTGGTGGAACTCACTGTGGTCGGGGACCTGACGCAAGATGCACAGACTGATGGCATTCGCTATACCATCCCGAATTCAATTGCACCCCGATATGGCGTGCAACCAGACGATATCCAACTCTCAAGCGCATCTTCTACACAGTTCGAGGGCATTTCTATCACGGTAGATGTACAGATGGAGAAAGTGGCTATCATTCGAGAAATCCAGTCAAGTAGCCACACCCTCAATGTCTCGCTGGGCCGCATCTCCAGCGTCTCAGACACCACGTTCAATCCCTGGCAAGCATCAGCAAGCACTAAAATTACCCAAGACGACGCCCTTCTCCGTGACTTCGTCCTCCTCATCAAGGCAGACGGACTGGATACTCCCCGTGCCATGTTGGAAATACATGCCCGGCTCCCCAACCAACGCGCCATTCTAACCACCCTGGTCCCCAAATTTGGCCTCCCTCTCAGCAAGCCCGAGATGATCTTTGTAATTGACCGGAGTGGGAGCATGGACGATAAGATTGCAACTCTCAAAACTGCCCTCAAGGTGTTCCTCAAGTCGCTCCCCCTGGGGGTATGCTTCAACATCTGCTCCTTTGGCAGCTCATATTCCTTCCTCTGGGATCGGAGTCGGCTGTATGACGCAGCGAGTCTCCAAGATGCACTTAATTTCGTGGAGACGGTCGACTCCGACATGGGCGGCACAGAGATGCAAGGCGCCGTCGAGGCTGCGGTCGGCGGTCGACTCCCAGACAAGGAACTGGAGGTGCTCATCTTAACAGATGGACAGATTTGGAGGCAGAAGGTCTTGTTTGAATTCGTCCGCCGAACAGCGGCGGATGACAGTGCGCGGTTCTTCTCGCTAGGAATCGGAGACGCGGCATCGCATTCATTGATCGAGGGCATTGCACGTGCTGGGAATGGCTTCTCCCAGTCGGTGTTGAAGTATGAAGAGCTTGACCGCAAGGTGGTGCGTATGCTGAAGGGGGCGTTAACTCCGCATATCAGCGACTACAAACTGGAACTGGAGTATGAGTCTTCGGAGCAGGAAGAATTCGAGCTGGTCGAGCATGAGGGTCCTACAACAGTCCCAGTTGAGATGGAGCCAAAAGACCAGCAGCCCATATCTCTTTTTCATCCCAATTACACTGAGCCTGAGGATGTAGACATGGTGGATGTAAGCAATCTACCGCATGTCTTCCCCCCGTCGATCATTCAAGCGCCGCACGAGATCCCTCCTCTGTACCCTTTCATCCGAACAACGGCATACCTTCTCCTGAATCCAGAGTCTACGCATCAGACACCAGCAGCAGTAATATTCAAAGCCACCTCCAAACAAGGGCCCCTTGTCCTCCGCATTCCCATTGATAATGTCGGCAAAGCCGAAACGATCCATCAGCTGGCCTGCCGAAAAGCCATGCTCGAAATGGAAACGGGACACGGGTGGCTCGGGGAGATCGATCTCGGCCATGGCGATGGCCTCAAGAACCTGCACGATGACACCGCACTGCGCATAATCGAGCAGCAATGCGAGAACCTCGGCACAAGGCTCCAGGTGGTCGGCAGATACTGCTCATTCGTCGCCCTTGAAATCGACTCCTCATCTCAATCAGAACGGGAAGTCGAGTCCGCCGCAGACATCCATCGCTCACCACCGCTGGCTCCGACAGTCTCTGAGTTTGCACCTGCAATGAGATGCTTGCAATCACCAAACTCCCCATTTGCATCGAGCTCATTTGCCGCTGCGCCGCCGCCGCCCTGTCCTGCTCCAGCCGGTTTTGGATCAGGGCGAGGGGGCGGCCCACGTCTTCGCACGGCTAGTCGGTCAACAGGGATAGCGGGTGATCTCCAAGACTCTACCGCCGATATCAGTGGCGCGAGCCAAGAGGTCTCCAAGGTTCACCAGATCATTGCCCTGCAGTCATTTGAAGGTCACTGGGACTGGACTAGCGAATTGATGGGGATACTGGAAGTGGATGAAGCGGCCCTGCGAGAGAGGTTGGCGAGAGATGGGGATGGGAAGTATGATGATAAGATAGTCGTAACAATGCTGGTGCTGGCATACCTCCGTAACAAGTGTCCGGCGGACCGGTCACTGTGGGAGCTGGTGTATGGGAAGGCTGAAGATTGGGTGAAGCAGCGAGTAGCTGAGGGCAAGGGGGTTAGTGAGGCAATGAAGAATGATCTCAGCGGGTTGGTGTTCTCATAGAGCGCAGATGATGACAATGAGGGGCTTTATTGTTTGCTCAATTAGCTCCTATTATTGTACTGACAATGATCAATGGCTTGAATAGTCATCACAATAGTATAAGTTGAATAGGACTGATTCCTTAATGTTAGCATTCACTTTCCTTACAGCCACTGAACATATATATAAAGATGTCTTCAGCGCTTCTCCCGTTTGATTCTTGTGTTGAGTACGCCTGAAGCTAAAGAACCTATATATATATATATATATATCTTTCAGGGTCGTGCTATATCAGCCTCTTGACACATTCTCCGCCGAAAAAGTTGCTGTTTATCATTCTATCGCAAAGAATCAACTCCAGCCACTTAGGCTATACCTCGCAGTGAGTCGGGTTGTTCTCCCTTTAGATTCATGCTAAACACCACATCCAGATCAATATTCTGTCTCTTTCGATTACGATTGCTCGGGTATTTGCAACGACGAGTCGTCCTTGACATTGCAATGTCGCTCATGTGGCAACTACACGGCCTGTGCCTGTTTCTCACCAGGAATCCAAGAACCCGCCGTTGTTTTCGTCACCATTCGTCTTATAACAGGATTCTCACTGTGCTGAGTCCAGGAGCAGCAAAATTGGGGAGTTCCGAGCAAGTTGTACAGTGAGTATCGAAAATTGGGATTGTAGTAACAAGATCAAGGCTTACCAATGACGAGGCAGGAAAGTGACGGATTTGAACGGTCTTGACTCAATCACAAGGGGAAAACATGTTCACTTGACTATGACATGACGATTACTTGTTTACTGGCTCGGAAGTGATGTCTAAGCAAGCTTTACAACGACAAGGTAGAGGAAGATACCTAGAGTCAACTTTGCCTGCTGGATACCGCGAAGGCACTGCAGGACTTACGCAGCGCGCTGTCCACGGTTAACACATCCACAAAAAAAAAAAAAAGACCATGGGTAAAGATCGCGGGATCGGCCATGATGACAATGTACGGTCCATTGAGGGAAGAAGTTTTCTCGATTGAAGGATATCAACACCTGTGCGGAATACGAGGATATGCCCCTATCCGAATGACCATCAGGTAGTCGACGTAAACGTACAGTACATAACGTACTTTGATGCAGAATGAAAGATTCACCATATCAGAGAAAGAATCCTGTATACATACAGCGCGAAATCAATATTTCTCCAGGCTCACCAACAGACCTCCCCCCCCCACTTAACAAGCCGAGTTCGTCTGGGTCAGCAAGCCCAGCTTCCACGGAAGCGCATTATAATCCCCCTTAGCCGCAGGATCCACCCCCTGGTACAGATACCGCAGCTTGCACGGGCTGATAGTCATAGTCTGATCCGTCTGGGTTCGGATCATCTCGCCGTGGCTGATGCTCTTCGTCCAGGCATGGCCATTAGCGAAGGCAACATTGTTCGAGCGCGCGAAGGGGTTCGACTCGGTATCCGCCAGGGGCTTCCACTGGCCGGCCAAGCTGCTCGCAGTCCAGGAGCGGAAGTACCGCTGGCCGTCGTTGCCGATCGCCTCGACGATGAGCAGATAGCTTCCATCCCCGGTGTGGTAGACATTGGATGCTTCGAAGAGGCTGAACTTGTTGCGGTCTGCGAGGGCAATAGCAGTGTTGCCCATGCCGTGGGGGAAGTCGGCCAGGGATGTCTGGGAGCGGTAGAGGTGTCCGTTGTCGTCTGAGGAGAAGAGGTAGCAGTTGCGTGTGTCGCAGATGGTCCACATGTCCACCCAGGCGCCGCGGCCCATGTTGTGGGTGATGATGCTGGGTGTGCCGCTGAAGAAGTTCTGCGGAGAGGTCCAGCCGGCCGGGTTGCTGATGTCGGGGTTGGTGGAATAGGCTGCGTTGCCGTTCTGGTAGACCAGATACCACAGTTTGTGGGGCTTGAAGTAGAAGACCTGTGGCGCGGCGCGGTAGCCTTTGCCGATCCGGGTCTGGTCCAGGTAGTGGAATGGAGCCAGGTGAGCCTTATTGAAGTCGGTGAAGCTAAGATACACCAGGTTGTAGCCGGAGGCCTGGGCGGTGCTAGCGAAGACGTGGTAGGTGCCGTCCACCTCGACGATGGAGGGATCCTTGATGCCCTCGATATGGCGGCCATCGTTCTTAGGGCCCACGAGGGCGGCGCTGGAGCTCCATTTGAAGCTTCTGGGTAAGGAAGCAGCAGCAGCAGCAGCAGCGAGGGTGGAAGTGACTAGGAAGAGGATCGACCGCATCTTGTCTGGTGGTCTGGTTGGGTTGGGGGGGGGGATGCTGTTGTGATTGTTACAGAGAGTTGTCCGGCGACGAGCAGCCAGTTTATATACGCAGGTTTACTCTGCAGTCTTCTTCAACATGGAAAATATTCCTCCAATCATTTCACCCTCTATACCTACCCCTTCAATCTTCCTGGCTTCAGCCAGAAACGATGGCGTGACGCCTCAAACTCTGGTTAAATCGCAACGGCAGCCGAGTGGCTTGATACTTTTTGCCCTGACGAAGATCATTCTGGGGTTTCCGTAAAATGCCTCGTCTCAGTCCGAAACGCCCGGAAAATTGCCTGGAACGGTCGATGGAGTATGGACAGCATCTTGTCCGCGTCCAAAAGGGGAGTGATGCATGTCTATCCCGGGACTTTTGGATGTCGCCGAACTGCGGGGCCATCATAGCGTTCATGTCGCTTTCAACTCCACATAACTGATTCATTTCAGGTTTCATATTGTTTTTCTGCGTGTTAGCTCACGGATCCCGCGGTTCCGAGACCAGGTTGGAGGCTTGATATTACTTTATGTGAAGCAAGCTCATCTTCGACTCAGGACCTGACACCGTGTATGGTCCTTCAATTTTCCTCTCGGGTAGACTCCGATTCTACAGGCTGACCCGTCTGGCATTCTGATGAGAGCATATGACGAGATTCATTTGGCTTCTGTCTACACAAAAGCGTTGCTAGCCGAACACGGCCTACAGGGTCATACCGCAAATCTGATGATGGTTCAAGCACTGGTGAGCTTACGACAGTTGCTTTACCTGGGCAGATTCGGATATTACAGGATGTAGCTACTAGTTGAAAAAAAAAAAAGAAAGTACACTATGCTCATATGATGCCAACAGTATGGTATGACCGGTTCGAAACCAAAATCAGTTGAATTTACCTACCTGCGTCGCTCATATCGACCCCGACAAGCCTTTTATCACTCCACACCAAATTGCACAAGCTCACGCCTCCATATCAACTCAAGGCATAATCACCACGGTCGACTTACCTGCTTCCTGCGGCGACCCCTGATACTGCGAATCAATCAGGTACTTGACTCGCGCCTCAGCGGCGTCCAAGATCCCACCCGGGGTGTGGTTCGTCGCATTGAACCCGATGAGCACATTGCCCGTCGGCGCAGCTCTCGCCGCGGGGATGGCGCCCCATGAGGTGTAAACCGTGCATTCGCGACGTTGTACTGCGGCGTGGACCTTGTGGAGGACTTCCGGGGTGGAATTCGCCTGGGCGGGTTTGTCCATGTGAACCCAGTAGGTGCGTGTGTCGGTGGGCTGGCCGTGGCCTAGGCCGGTGAAGTTGGGGAATTTGGGACAGGCCATTTTGATCCGTGTTCTTGATATCTCAGAAGATCTTGGTATTATATACCTGTAGTTTGGGGAGGGTTGTTCCTGAGGATATCCGATTGATGGGTTGACTTTGAAGATGAGAGTAGAAGAGGACAGTTGGGGATGATGATGATAAAGTTCGAACTGGACCATGGCCAAATTTATATGCGGCGTGAGGCATATGAACCCAAACGTCGGGGTTGTATAGGTAGGTGAAATGTCTTTCTTCGAGCTATTCAGCTGTTGTTGATATTGAAGCCTTGCCTTCGAGCACATCCATTCCGAGACCAAGACAAGGACATTGTTATTGCGTCCTTTCGACGCTGCAACAATTCGAAAGACTTGTATTCTGAGACAATGCTCAAATCAAAGACACGATGACTAGAGCACAAAATGCCTTGTCAACACAGTCTCTTTGTTGATGGACAAAGGGCAAAGCCCCGTAGCCCTAATTCCCAAAGCATCGCCGATATCAAACATAAGACACATCCTCCAGCTCGGTCTCTGGAAATCTGCACCAGAGACTCACGTTTCTTCCATGGCTCAGGATCCTATGGTCGCTTGTAGCGCTGCGTGACGGACGCCCAAACTCATCATCATTTTCACATTTCTGAAGATGCGCCTGCACTCGCGGCGCTGCGCCAATAATACACATTATCCCATGATTGTAGAAACTGCGAAAAGAGGAGAAGGAGTAGAGTTGCCATCATTCGAATAGACCCAAAACCTGTGACAGCGTTCGCATTTCTCACTTGCTCCGATTTTTCATCCTATGAAATCGAAGGATACGAGGACGATCTCTGAGTCATGCCGTGGGCGCCCGATCCCGAGGTTATCCAACTAAATATAAGACGCTCATCATCGCTTTCGATCAGCGCGAGAACCATGAAATAATATGGCTTCGGTTATCCCAAACACTCGAGATGCGTCGCGCATCAGCCTCGATGCGGAGCAACCTGCCGTTCCAGCGATCTTGGAAATAGAAGAACCATCGAACGATGATATCCCAACAAAATTGTAAGCATCCCAATATGTGTAGCATCCACAACTGACGGAAGTAGCCAGTCGGCTTTGGTCGTCGTGGCGGCATTTGTCACGATCTTCACAGGCTGCGGTATCAACTTCGCCTTTGGTGTATATCAAGAACTCTATGAGTCCATGGCCAAACTCCCCGCCCCCACGCCCTTCAGCGGCGTTTCTCCCGCCCAGATTGACCTTATCGGCACTTTGGCCGTGTCAATGATGTCGCTCGGCGCCCCCTTTGCATCCGGTTGGTGTAAATCGTACTCCCCGCGCCAGATCACTCTAGCCGGGGCGGTCATCTTTGCTCTCGCCAACGTCCTCGCATCCTTTAGCCAGCAGCTGTGGCATTTTATCCTCACGCAGGGAGTATTGCTGGGATGCGGCACATGTCTCACCTACATCCCGGCCGTGACAGTCGCCCCCGGTTGGTTCACCACCCACCGCGGCCTTGCAATCGGCATCATTTCCTCTGGAACTGGGGTTGGTGGCGTGGTATGGGCACCGGCCTTGCGCGCCTTGAATGCCCGAATCGGATTTCGTAACACACTGCGGCTCATTGGGGCATTGTCGTCGATTCTCCTGGGCGGCTCGTCCCTCGTGCTGGATTGGGAACCTCGCACAAAGCGTCAGAACCAACTGGACCGGCAGGCATCGACTTCGTCTCGACTGAAAGTAGCCCTAGTGGACTGGCGCGTCGCGCGTACCCGAAAGTTCCTCGCCCAGTGCCTCTCCGCCGGCTTCCAGGGGGCCGCATACTATGCGCCCGTGTACTTCATGTCAACATACGCCCGGGCGCTGGGATTCTCCGCTGCCACGGGGGCAATGTTCATCTCCATTTCAAATGCATCGTCGGCCATTGGGAAGATAGTGATCGGTCATGTTGCTGATCGCGCTGGCCGCATCAACGTCTTTCTGTTTACAACGCTGATGAGCGCGATGGCCACCCTGGGGTTATGGTTGCCATCCACGGTGCTTGGGGACAAGGCTCTGTTCATCGCATTTGCCATGCTCTATGGCGTATTTGCGGGGGCCTATGTGAGTCTATTTCCGGCGACGCTAGTTGAGCTCTTCGGGGTCCAGCATTTTGCGAGTGTGAACGGGTTTCTCTACATGGTTCGTGGGTTTGCGGCATTGGTGGGGACGCCAGTCGCGGGCTTGCTGATACGAGGCGGCACGGACCTTGACTTGGACACGAGGTCAATGAGTAGAATGTATCTCAAGACGAGTGTGCTGGTAGGAGTCTTGCTCGTGGGTGCCACGGTGGGTGTTGCGTGGGTTCGAATCGAAGCGGCCATCAGTGCAATGGATGGACGGCGGAGGATGAAATGGAGGGCTTGACGTCTTGCTGGCATAATATGGATAAGTATTTAAGCATTGCAATATATCCTCACAGTCGCGAGACGGTGAAGCGAAACGATGAGATCGACACGGCCGGATACGGAGTAATTGGTTCGATGACACGAATACGAGGCCATTAGATGGCGGCTTGGCTGACAGGCGTGTATATATATAGACATTTGCATTCCCTCAGCGCCGCATGATCTCTTTCCTCCCGTCTGTAAAAGTACTTCTGATTGTGTTAACACAAGATGCGTTTATTCAATTGTTCCACCCTGAAGCTCACCGAGTTCCTCGGCGAGGATGTCCCCCCATACGCAGTTCTCTCCCATCGCTGGCAAGACGAAGAAGTCACTTTCCAGGACATTCAGTCAGGCATTTCCCAGGGAAAGAAAGGATATGAGAAGGTTTTAGCGTGCTGCACACAAGCCCAACGTGGTGGTCTGGACTATGTCTGGGTCGATACCTTCTGTATCGACAAGACCAGCAGCGCCGAGCTATCTGAATCGCTTAATTCCATGTACGATTGGTACCACAAGGCCCAAGTCTGCTATGCCTTTCTCTGTGATGTGTTTGAGACCTCCGTTACGGATGAGGGGAGCTTCAAGGACAGTGTATGGTTCACCCGTGGGTGGACGTTACAGGAGCTCCTTGCGCCAACGCAGGTGGAATTCTTCAGCGCAGAATGGCATAGCTTGGGAACAAAATCTGATCTGAAGGAGATCATTGGGAAGATTACCGGAATCCAGCAGGAAGTACTGGATGGACGCATCAGGCCTCAGGAGCTCAGTGTCAGTCAGCGCATGTCCTGGGCGGCCGACCGAGTAACTACCAGAATCGAGGATATCGCGTACAGCCTACTGGGATTATTCGAAATCAACATGCCCATGCTGTACGGTGAGGGGAAACGCGCATATATCCGACTGCAGGAGGAAATTATGAAGCAGTCCGATGACCAAACGCTGTTTGCATGGAAGAGTTCGGACGAAAGCTACCGCGGACTTCTGGCCCAGTCGCCGGCCGATTTTCGCGGCTGCGGTACATTCGTTCAATCAAAACACAAGTTGAATCGAACCCCATATTCCGTTACAAACATGGGAATTACCATCGAGCTGGCCGTCGTTCAGTGGAGTATGGACATATATCTTGCCGCTTTGGACTGCGAAATCGGTGACAGCCAAGAGCGACTCGCGATTTTTCTAGCCCCGCTGCCAGACAACAACCAGTATGCCCGAGTGATGTGTGAAGGGGAAGACCTACCAGTCTTTCCGTCAAATCTCGAGTCAGAATACCGGAAGGTCTATGTCAGACAGAGGATTGCAGGTGCGCAGAGACCTCCCGAACGCATGTATGGATTCTGGCTTCGCCAGTTCCCACCTGTCCATCCTGGCCCCAACTCTCGTTTCGAAGTCACAGCATACCACCCTTGGGATGAGACAGAACGCAAACTCCGCATCCCTCCAGGAAAAAGAGGCACGGCAGGATTGATCAGATACTCGATGAGGCAGGACTTTGTGGTGAATCTCCGAGTCGGTTTCGACAGGCTCCTCAACCCAGTTGTCCAATTCGGTGGCGCTTTATGGTCCGCACAACGTGGCGCCAGAGTCCGAGATCCCAACTCCTTTGAAGCTCTTATGGACGACGAGTGGATGGACGCACGGAGGGAACGGGTATTTATTGGCGACAGAAATCACGGGCTCAACCTCAACGACAGCACGATCCGGATCCTGATCATGGAGGAGGTAGTCAAGGGTCAGCGAATGTGGGTGGTGCACATCGCAAAACCGGAAGATGGAGCCTGGCACAAGGATTGCGTCTGCGACGGGTGCAGACTGACAGTGTTTGGAGCTCGGTATCGATGCAAGACTTGTCCGGGATTCGATTACTGTTCAGATTGTATCAAGTCGGCGGAAACGACACATGCAGGACATGAATTCGATGAGGATCGGCCAGCTTGGCACGCGGGAGTGTACTGTGATAACTGCGGCGAGGTCAGTATAGAGACACGGGGGGTGCATATTGATAATACTGACTTTCCAAGGGCATTTACGGCAGTCGATATAAGTGTCATGACTGTGGAGACTATGATTTGTGTTGTTATTGCAAGCCGGCATCAGAGCAAATCCACCCGAAGCATCGATACAAGGAGATCAAATCTCCTGATAATTGATGCGAAGATTCCTCTTGCGGACGGTAGAAGACCAAAAGCCGGGTCACATTTCAGCCATTGGCCACATAAACAAAACCACCAGACAATTCTTGCAAAGCCACAATCTGGCTCTTGCTAAAGTATTTGCAGACATATGATGTTGCATATGTTGTCGAACCAACAACGGTTAGGCGTGTTTCCTACAAGATCCATACCAATACTACCGTATGCTTCATGGACGGTATATCCTGGCGAACTCCAGATGTCTTCTATTCCACGTACACACTAGACTATAAAGGATAAAAATGTACCTATTTTGACCATAGCGATGTGAACCGTCAACTGCAATTTCCCAGCCCACAGCCATCCCCATTGTAAACAACAAGACTTATGCTCCTCCATATCAGTGCAACACTGAGGACTATTGGCCGGTAGACTGGTTCCAGGGACACACAAGAGTCTCATTTGGCCATATAAACTCATATAAATCGCGTGCCAGGCGCCATTCCTCCCAAGAGCCATCGGATCTGCGCCACCAATTGTCAGCTTACTCCCGGACCGTCTCGATATATCGTTCACCATACTCCACCTCGATACAATTCGGGGCCAACACCCAGGCTCTCAGCAAAATGCAGGCAGCCACCGCGTCGTACGGCTTGCGGGCTGTTTTGATAAACCCAAAATTTGCGACCCCATGTTTGTCAATGCACAGAGGCTCGTGGCCATCTTGCCCAACTCCATTCAGCATGATTCCATCCTCCTCGTTGATGATGGGACGGGAGTGTTCCTCCCGACCAGGGCCAGCGAGCGATATGCCGGATACGTTGACGATTCTCTGGGCGTCGGCGACTAGTTGAGACCATGCGGTTTGCCATTCAACGCTATCGGTATTGTGGATGGTGTAGTAGTGAGTGTAACTAGGCGTGTTAGGAATTTTCAACGGGGACTTGTGTGACTGCTTACCCCATTTTAGATGGATTTGAGTTCTTCGGAGTGAGTGTTTAAGCTGATACCTGAGACAAATGAAGGTTGAAACTGGGAATGGTCTGGACGATGAGTATTGTGGTGATCATATAGACTGGGAACGTGGTGGTTGCGACTGCTGGCTGTTGCTTTCTCCTACTCTTCATCAAAGCAACTCAACTAGAGTAGGCACTTCAGTAGAGCACCTTCCACATGGTCCCACCGATGATTGAATTTTAAAGGAATCAACGTACCCATTGTTGGTTTTCATAAACCCCGTCCTTTCATCGGAATACGATAGTTTGGTTGGACATAGAATGATCATGAAGCAAGTTACTCAAATATCATGTTTCTACTTCTCAACAACCGCATCTACTTTCTGCAGCATTGACTCTCCGATGATCGCCGTATCACCTCCCATACTACTGCACATGAACTGCAAGAAAAGTCGCATTGACCGTTTGGCAACATGTGGTGTTGCGAAAGAATATAGGCGAGACTTATGAATCACTAAATGCCCATCAACAAAGTATGCCTGCAGGATTCTGCCGCGTTTTGCACCCATAAAGGACAGAAGCAAGACCTGTATATCCATTAGCTCCTAGTAAACTAATTAACCAAATGACAAACTCACCGGTATAGTGGTGTGCTTTCGAAGCCGCCGACTCGAATACCTGCTTAACATGACCGAGACAATCGTGAGGACCTCTGCTTGCAACAGATCGTCGTTATGGCCTACAAGCCCATGCGCCAGGGTGAGCATAACATGAGGCTGGTCCCGTGGATTCCAGGCCTGCCAGGCATCGCGTGGAAACCATCGACTATGGTGCAAGATGTCATCGTGGAAGATTTCGTGGATGATACCACTTCCGAGACCACTATATGCGTTAGGTTAGGACTTGTACGAAACCAAAAAAACAGTTGGCTCATACCTTCGCTTCCAGTCTGTTAGCTCTTTGAGTTTAACCTTTCTCGCATCACTTGTCCTCATCGCACACGAGGCAAACCTGAACGACATGAAATCGCACATCAAATAGCATTCAGATAGTGTGTCTAGTTCATATATGTCTTCACCAGCCCAGAAATCCTCCTCTTCTCGGTGTCTCTCTCTTGTATCTTCGTCATCAGTATCAATGTTATACGCTCGGAGCTGTTCGAGTGGCATCGGAGAGAAGAACTGCAGATGGTTTGAGCTTGATGGTCCATAGGAGCCGTCATGGTTCAATGGTAGACTGTGGCATTTGATATGTAAAGAGTCAAGAGCTTGGAGACTCAAATATGGTCTGTCCATTTCATACACCAGATTCCAGATATTGTGGAGGTCTTTGAAATATTCATCGCTTTGGGTTACAACATCTTTTTTTTCTGGTGACTGTCGAGGTCGCTTTGGCCGAGGCAGAAGCCTGTTGGCCAGGAATTTGATGCACGAAGCCATGTCGGAGCTGCTGCAATCTGTGATGCAGGGTCGAGAAATTTCTCATTCCGAAGAATTGACTATATACAGAGGACAGTCTACTTGTAAGCTCGGCGTCATGCGCTAGTAGTATGGACGCCGTGGGTATGTAGAAGTTGCTCATCCATGGATTTGATTGAGATTGGTAAAGAGATACTACTATGGACATTCATTCTTTATACCAAGAGAATAGACACTCCCAGCCTGCTGGGTGCTGGGGTGAGTTGAGGACATCTGAAGGCGTGCAAAGCAGATCTAGTCGTCCATGCCAGTAAATCATTGAAGTAGCAAGCTATGTATAGTCTACTGTACGGTAGATGCATGCTTGAAGAGGGTAAGAAAGAGAGATCACGACCTATATTTGACGCGAGAGAGAGAAGTGGCATACTTCTATCAGCCACTGCTGGGGTATTTGCGACTGTCACAAGGGTTATTATGGTTCAAGTTGGCGACTTCACTTCACCTGCTCGAGTACACATGGGTCTCATCTAGTTTCTCCTACGAGTTAGGTATATTAAGAATACAGTGTAGAGTTATAACTTTGTCAAGTGTATGGAGTAGAATATGCCAGGATCTCACAGAAATCTTGAATAGACTAGATAGATAGGGAATCTTAGCTATGAGTTTTGTTCTTTGCGCATTTATGCATAGGGTTGCTTCGCAATAATCAGGGGTCATAGCCCCAGAAATTGGATATCATTTGATTTTTTTTTTAAAGAAAAAAAAAGAATATGCATTCTGGATCACTTAAGATGTCAGACTGACTGATCATCTTCGTATTTCAGCCAGCCCTAAACACCAACTCTTCACCTTCGGAACGGGTAGATAGACAGGGTATGCTGGATCGAGCCTTTCCTATTTTTAATGCAGATCAAAGTAGGAATTCGCTTAGCTCCAGACTCTAAAATCATTCCATTTGCATGTTTGCCCAAGCCATGAGGAATATCCTGCATCCAGCCTAACACCCGCGAATCGTTAACCGCTGGCCTTCAGCTTCACATTGCTTTTTCAGGCAGAGGGCACTGGATATAAACAACAATACTGTACCCCAGTAGTTGAGTCATAAGAAAAATCTCGCTCGTATTCAATATTCTGCCAAAGATGTCTGCCTTTCCGGATTATCCGTTTCTTTATTCAGATCCCCCAGATCCAAATGAACAACCCCCTTCAACATTCTTCAACAGTCTGCCATATCGCAAGTCCCGCTTCCACGATGCGGCTGTCGCTACATCGCTTGCTGTGGTCAGAAGAACAGCAGATTCACTTGGTGTGGACTTCAACTCCCTTGTCCAGAAGGGATGTGTTACTTCTACGGGTCATATGATTTCCTGGACCGCACCGGAATGGCCTCCTATTCTTGTTCCGTTGCTTACGGAGATGTGTGAATCGTTACTGCATTATGATGGTGAGTAAATTTCTCATAGTAGTTGCATGTTCAATATTAATGTGATAGATGCAATCGATACGCTGGATATCAAGAATGTAAGTAAGACTTCCGAGTTCGGATCGATTTCCTTGCTAAATTATCTGCAGAAACGGGATGCTCTCACAGATGCAACACTGGGTCTTTTGAGAATGTGGAAACTCAATGAAGCACCACACTTCGATGCAGATGTCAACAAGACATTCATCTCCAATATCGAGTCCCTACTGGAAAGCACACCGGAGCTCAGAACGCTCATTCTCAAGACCTTTATCGAGACCATCATGGCGCAAGCCACAAGCATCCAGTCTGGGGTTTCATTTGAGGAGTATAAAAAAGCACGCATGGCCAGTTCCACTATCAGGTAAGTCAGCCTGTCCTCGTTTCAAGACAGTCACTAAGATGGACAGGCCTGCATGGGGTCTAGTTGCTCTGATACAAGGTCTTCGAATCACGGAAGAGGAAAAGCAGTCGGTGGCGCCAATACTCGATTACGGGGTGATGAGCGGCTCGTTATCAAACGACTATTACAGCTTCCATCGCGAGTTCGATGAACATATGAAGTCTGGAACGCTAGATGCAATCCACAACGCCATGGCGCTGCTGATGACCGAATATGGATATTCCGAGGAGGAAGCGGGAGACATCTTAAAGCAGGAGGTACTTGCCGCAGAGAAACAGCTTATGCAGCATTATGAAGCATGGGAAGCCTCCGATGCTCCCAAGTCGGATAACATCCGCTCGTATGTGGTTCTCTTCATTCTGGCTGTTGGTGGGGGAAATTACTGGCAGTCTCAGAGTTCGCGGTATCGCAATGAAGGCATGACGACCACGATTGAGGATCGAGCTCGGCTGCTCCAGCCGCGAAGGGAGCACTTATTGCGACTCGAGGGTTATCCCTCTCCAGCAAACCTAGATGGAAGCTGCCCTCTCTCTGAAGTTATTGGACGCACAGCAGTTTCCGAAGCCCAGACGGTTCTGGCGACGAATAGCCACTCTACAAAAGGCGATATCTTCGCGCGCTTCCAACCTGCTGACGCAGATAAGGTTTGTCTCTCTAACTTTGCAACAGTATATGCTAACAGCGTAGATTTGCATGGCACCGTTCGATTACATCAAGTCGCTGCCAGGTAAGAACACACTCGGCAGGTTTATCGACTGTCTCCGGGCGTGGTTTAATCTGCGCGATGAGCACATCGCCATATTAACGAAAATCGCGGTCATGCTGTTCAATTCAACACTCCTGTATGCTACTCCGAAGCTAAGCACTCAACTCAAGATCATAACCACTGACTGTATAGACTCGATGATATCGAGGACGGCTCGGCCCTTCGTCGCGGCCAGCCGGCAGCACATGTAAAATTCGGAGTCGGACAGACGGTCAACAGCGCCACCTTTCTGCACGCGGAGGCAGTGAGCCTAGTGCTTGAGCATCTCGGGCCTGACTGTCTAAACATAGTCCTCGGTGCGTCCTGAACATTTTGCCGGGAAAATAACAGAGAAAGGATTCTAATTTGGTAGACGAAATCAAAACCCTGGCGCGGGGCCAAGCGCTTGATCTCCACTGGACATTCATTCAGGCCCGCCCGACTGTGAACGAATATCTGACTATGGTCGACCACAAAACCGGCGGATTCTTTCGACTGGTCCTCCGAGCCATGGGTAGCCTGTCCTCGACTGCTGTTGATTCGGACCTGGAACATCTGGTGACGTTGATGGGGAGGTACTACCAGATCCGTGACGATCATCAAAATTTGGCATCAGACGAGGTAAATTCCCGAGGGTGTTTGTATCGGAGACAGTATGGCTGACGGGAGAAGTACACGGCCAAGAAAGGCTTCTGCGATGACCTTTCCGAAGGAAAGTTCTCCTTTCCAATCATCCACTTGCTCCAGCATAGTTCCAAGGCGAATACCTTGTTCAAGCTCATCTATGACCGACAGAACGGCGATATCTCTCATGCGGACAAGCTCTATGTTCTCACAGAGATGAAGGAGTGTGAGAGTCTTACATATGCCTCTGAGGTGCTCGATGAACTATTCACGTCCATCGTCGAGACATTGGACAGACTGGAAGAGAAAATGGGTCAGAATAAACAACTGAGGTGTCTGATACTTTCATTGAAGCTATAGTTTCAGCTAAGACTGTCGAGATGGTTCAATTCAATGTGGATGCTTCGTATTCACAATTGTATCTATCATACCACACTAGACGGCCGAGGGTTTCCATACACCCAATTCCCAGCAAGCTCCAACACGCCAGACATCCCCATTCATTCTCTGCGTGTGGCGGCAAATTCCACAGTAACAGAGGTAAACCTTGGTGGGAAGAGATGCCACGGGGATACTGACGGTAAATTGAATTGCCTGGCAGTGGCACTTTGCAGTCAGTATGAAGAATAATTGAGAACCGAACAGCTGAAGACATCACTATCAACAAATCATTTTTCAATAATCATCTCCTCTTAACCACTTATCCAACAAGAGCTGTTTCGCAGTTGGTCTTTCCTCAGGCAACCAACACAACGTTTTCCGTAGAAACTCGAGGAAAAGCCTCTGGTTATCGCCTTTTAGTCGAGACTCACGACTTTCTAGAGACTGTTGAGGAATCTCTTCCGAACTCTTCCAATTACCTGCAAGAAATTAGGAACGAGGTTAATTGTAAGCCAATAACACTGAAGGCCAGCAATCCTTACCTTCCTCATCCCAGAATTTAAGGCGTTGTTTACTTCGCCTGAGAAATTCAACAGGAGGTGGTCCCAGGAGCGAAACCATTTCCGCAAAACGTCGAGCTTGGCCGCTTTGAGTGTCCAGGTTTTGGCTCCTGAAAAGGTGTCCTTGCTCAAACAATGTCCATGCCTAAGAGGTGCGATATCAGCAGGAATCATAGAGTCAAAAAGTTAACGATCTTACAGTCTGACCTATTGCCCATATGTCTACCTTACTATCCCAGTCCATGCCAAGCATGACTTCTGGCGCTCTATACACGTCTGGCATTATGAGACCAGTTTGTCTCTCCTCAGCCAGTCGCGCTTCTCCAAGATCAGCAAGGATTGGCTCCCCGCTCGTCAGAGGCATAGCACGTGTAGCATAAATCGTGCGATCATCAAGAAATTTTCGTGGTGCCGGGTTGGTTATCTCGTCTTCCTCCATGTAAGCAAGGACCGTTTTATCATCAATGCCTAAAAGAATATTATTTGGCTGAACATCTGAGATAACATAAGCTTCATGAACTAGTAGACTGATTCATATCAATTCTCACCGGTATGGATAACTTTACACTGATGGAGGTAATTTAGAGCAATGAGTACAAATCGAAGGGCAGGCCGAAGACGTTCCTCTGTTAAAGCATCACCTTCTAGGCAATGTATGTAATCACGAATATCGATTCCAGCGGGTTCATGGATAATACACGAATGAGTCCCATGCGGTCCAGAAACTTGGAATGAGTCATGAACAAGTCGTACATATTTCTCAACGCCATGAGCATCGTGGACCGCCTTCAAGTGATTCGAAATCTGCACTTCTGACGGCTTCCGCATCGTACGAGCATGAACCTTTAGAACCAGGTACTGTCCATCACTTCATCATATCAACTTCATTTCTTTCAATAGTGCAAGCGTGCTTACTTACCATAGATCTCGACATAGCCATACTGTCGAGGATGAGCCAAAGCCCAGTTTCGTCACGACCTGATAGCGAGACCGGAAAACTTCGCCAATGCGAACTGGATAGTAGCGTTCCTTCACATATCCAGGCAGTGTTTCTTCTTCAAAGTCTCTAGAGGAATCCAGAACGGTAAAACCTGATGTCGGAAATTCTCGTGGTTGGGACAAGGGAGTAGAAGCCATTTTCCGGCGTTGGCAAACAAGCTGTGAAATGAGTCGCGAATAGCGGAAATGACTTGAGAACAGTGTTGAATGTGCGGATGAGCGAACAAGTGCACTCAAAATGTATGGTCTCATGTCTTTTTTCCATTCAAGAAGGATATAAAAAACTACTCGAGGTATGCAACCCGCTTGTGCTTAGATTTAAGTCTGTACTAACAACAGCTCTTCTAAGATCAGGTGTTGTAGTGTGGTATTCACTATATCAGTGATATACTTACTTACTATGCCTAAATAGGCATAGTATAATGTATACTAACTAGTATAGTCATCCCCTTATTTATATCTACTAGAAAGGAGCTAGGGTAAGAGAATAAGAGAAGGATATATGTAAGGATCGCGAAGGTCCATTATGTATTATATTAAAGCTACCTTCACAGAGGAGCCTATTAATGAGAAGGCTCCTCATAAGAGGTCATATGAATGAATAGTCACATAATATATAAAGATATAAACCCTGCCTATAACTACTAAACTCTAAAGTTTAGTAATAATCTCTATAAATAAGGATACCTATCTTTAAATCTAATTATAAATATTCTTTTTTTATACTAGTTTCTAATTCTTATAGATTATAGATCCTTATATTTTATTACTTAACCTTTAAAACTAGTCTATTAAGAAAATAATATTATAAAAGAAGTTAGTTAGATTTAAACTATTTAATAAACCCTCCTCTATAACTATATAAAGTTAGATAGTAGGAAAAGAGATAATCTATAAAGAGAAAGACTCTAAGAATAAGCTAGATTTATAAGACTCTCTTATTCTAATAAATCTAAAGTTAATAAAAATAATCTCTATAAAAGAGTATCTATAATAGGAATTATAGCTTTTATAAGAAATCTAGAAGCTTTATAATAATCTAGGTATAGGCCTTAAAAAGTATCTATAAAGCTAGAAATAAAAGAAACTATTCTTATTATTTATAAAGAAGACTAATATCTAAATCTAATCTTTATTTAAGTTAGAGAGATACTTAATCTATAACTATATAATATATTAAGTCTTTATTATAAGTTAGGAGTCTACTATAAAGACTAATAACTAGAATAAAAAAAATATACTAAGATTATAATAGCTTATCTAGACTATATTCTCTTTAATCTTTAATAAAGTAAGATATTTAAGAACTTTTATAATTAAGAATAAAAAGGCCTCTATACTTTTCTAAAATTATAATTAAGTAATTTAGAGAATTATAAATAGAAAGTATAATTATAAATATTTTAAATAAGATCTTATAAAAAAGAAATAGACTATATATATTAGTAGAGGTAGTATAAGTAATAGATTAAAATTAAGAATAATATAAAAAATATAAAGAAGATATAATTATACCTCTTCTTTAAGTTCTTCTCTATAGTATTTAGGCAGAAGATCTATAAATATTTAGAATTTCTAAAATCTAAGAAAGAGATAGTCTTCCTACTTATAAGACTATATCTAAATATAAAATAAAATACTTATTAAGACTCCTTATATAAAGATAAGAATTATTAAGGCCTTAGGAACTTAGGGAAGCCCCTTATAAACTATATTAATTATATTACTATTAAGAAGATAGAGATAATAGGATCTACTATAATTACCTTATTTATAAAGAGGTAAGGCCTATAGTTTTATATCTTTAGCATCTTATAGATCTACTTTAATTATAATAAGGAAGGGTATATTATAAGATACTATCTAAATAAGCCTAAGTAGGAGGGCCCTATAAAAACTAAATAACTAGTTATTATTATTATTATTAAAAAATAAGATAAAGAGTATTATAGATCCTTACTCTCCTATCTAAGTATATTTCTTTAGGCTTAGATAGAAGAGAAGGGGTAGGAACTAGCCTTATAAGTACTAGTTAATAATAAAAGCTTAGTTAATCTTATTCTTATAATATTAGCTAAGGAAAATAACTAGTATACCCTACTATAATAGGTCTTTATAGAGATATTAACCTTATAAGAAATAAGAAATAAAGAAGTAGTAGAAGCTACTATCTTAGTTAGAGATAGTAATAAAATAGAGTAGCTCTTTATAGAGCTTATAGTAGTATCTCTAGATATAAATTATATTATCTTAGGGATGCTATAGTTAAAGTAATATAATCCTATAACTCTTTAGGGAGAAGATAGGGTAATCTTTAATATAGAGTTAGCTCTATAAATTTATCTAGTCTTAGTAGAAGACTTTATAGAAGTAAAAGATATAGTAGTTATAATAGTATAAGTTATAGAAATCCTATAAAAGATAATAAAGAGTAAGAACTCTATACTAGACTAGCTTATAGACTTTTATATAGTCTTCCTAGAGAAGAAGGCTTAGGAATTACTATTATATTATAAAGATATAGATCTAGAGATAGATCTAGAGGAAGAGAAGTAATTATTCTTTAGACCTCTTTATAATTCCTCTGTAGCAGAATTAGTAGTATATTATAAGTATCTTTAGATAATACTTATAAAGAAGTAGATCTAGGAGTTAAAATTAGTAATAAAAATATTAATTCTTTTTATAAAGAAGAAAGATAGTACCCTCTAGCTATATATTAATTATTATAATCTAAATTATATTATTCTAAAGAATTACTATCTACTTCCCCTTATTATAGAGATTATTAAGAGGCTTATAAAGGGGAGGATTTTTATATAGCTAGATCTTTATAAGGCTTATTATAGGATTAAGATTATAAAGGAGTAGGAGTAGAAAATAGCCTTTTATATAAAGTATAGGTTATTTAAGTATTTAGTTATATCTTTTAGGCTAACTAATACTCCTATAATATTCTAGAGCTTTATAAACTAGCTATTCTATGACTACCTAGATATTTTTATAGTAGTCTATATTAATATTATTATAATATTCTTATAAGATAAGAAGGAGTACTATAAATATATCTACTTTATAATAGCCTAACTCTAATAAATAGGACTATTTATAAAGCTAAGTAAGTATCTCTTTATAGTAAAGAGAATTAACTTCTTAGGCTATATAATTATACTAGAAGGTCTAGAAATAGAATCTTTATAGATTAATACTATTATAGAATATCTATAACTAGAATCTATAAAGAAGATCCTAGCATTCCTAGGGTTTACTAACTAGTATAGAAGGTTTATTAAGAAATATTTATACTTTTTAGTAGATCTCTTAGACCTCTTATAAAAACCTAGTCTAGGAAGTAAAGGGAGGACTCTAGAGAAGGAGTTCCTAATCTTAGAAGTAGTAAATATCTTTAATAAATTAAAGAAAGTATTTATAAAGTAGGTTATTCTTACCTACTTTTATAAGAAGTACTACTTATAGATAGAAATAGATGCATCTAGATATACTATCTATAAGATATTATTATAGCTAAGTAAGGAGGGTTATTAGTAGCTAATAGCCTTCTTCTTATAGAAGATGTAACCTATAGAGAAGAACTATAATATTTATAATTAGGAACTTCTTATAATAATAGAATCCTTTAGGGAGTGGCATCACTACCTAGAGGGTTTATAAGAAGTTATTAAAGTTATTACTAATAATAATAGTCTTTACTACTTTAGGACTATACCCTAACTATTATAAAGATAGATAAGATAGTTATAAATATTTATAATATTTAATTTTAAGATAGTCTTCTATATTAGAAAGAAGAACCCTATAGATAGACCCTTATAAAGGGCTAATTATAAGAGAGAGGCTATAAAGACTAATACCTAGGGCTAAGAGGATAGAGACCCTAATATATTAAGATAGTAATTAATACTTTATAAAAGGGAATATACTAAAGTAAACACCCTAAAGGATATAAAATAGAAGGTTTATATAGTACTAGTCTATAGGATAGTAAACTTATAAGAAGGACTAGCTTAGGGAGCTAGTATTTATAAGGGTATCTAGAGGCTAGGCCCTTATATAAGGGACTCCTCTATAGAAATTTAGGCTTTACTACTAAGATTACTTATATAAGATAGACTTATAAAGAAGGTCTATATAGTATAAGTAAGAGCTATAAAGGAATTATTATAGTCTTACTATATAAAGAATAAATCATTATATTAGATAAGCTATAAAGGGCTCCTTTATTATAAGGGCTTACTCTATATCCTAGACTATTATAACTTAAGATTAAGTATCCTTATAAAACTCTATAATAACTCCTTTATAGGCTACTTTATAGAATAAAGAATAAGAGAGTTAGTCCTAAGATACTTCTAATAGCTAGAAGTAAAGAACTTTATCTATAAATACTATATAGTATATAAAGTATGCTAAGGATTATAATAGACCTAGGGTAAGTAATAGGGCTTATTAGAGCCTATATCTACTTCTATAGATATCTAGATCTAAATTACTATAGATCTAATTATAGATCTCCCTATAAGTACTTCTATAGTAAATTTATAAGAAGCTTTTAATAGTATCTTAGTAGTGGTGGACTAATTTAGTAAGATAGGTTATTTTATATCTATTTAGACTACCCTTAGTAGGGAGAAGTTAGTAATAACTTTTATCTATAAGGTCTTCTAACTTTATAGAATGCTAGAAAAGGTTATTATAGACTAGGGTTCTATCTTTATAAAAGATTTCTAGGTAGATTTTATATTTTATCTTTTAATTTATAAGGGTCTTTTCATAGCCTACTACTTATAGATAGATAGCTAAATAAAACACCTAACTAGTATGCTAGAATAGTACTTATAAGCTTATATTAACTTTAGTTAGGAAGACTAGGTTAACTATCTCCTTATTATAGAGTTTACTTATAATAATATATACTAGGTATCTATTAAGAATATATCTTTCTATATAGTTATAGGTGTTAACCCTTATATAATAATAATAGATTCTATAAACTAACTAAAGAGTAAGGTTATAGAAGAGTTAGTTATAAAAAGACTAACTAAGCTAGAATATACTTATAAATATATAAAGGAGGCTCTAATAAAGGCCTAAGCCTACTAAAAGAAATACTATAATAA